CTAGAATATTTTTAAAAATTCTTAAAAGTCATTGGAACAAATTAGAAACTTATTGAAAAAAAATTAGATTGTTTTAAAAAATTCTAGAACGTTCCAATGTTCGAAGGAACGAATGTTCCAAAAAATTTTAAAATGTTTCTAAAAATTCTCACAACTCGTCGTAACAGATTGAAACTCGTTGGAATAAAGTTTAGATTGTTTCAAAAAATTCTGAAACGTTCTAGAATGTTCCAGAAAACTCTGAAATGTTCTAGAATTTTACTAAAAATTCTCAGAACTCATTGGAGCTGTATAAAAACTCGTTGGAAAAAAATTGAGATCGTTTCAAAAAGTTCTGGAACGTTCTAGAATGTTCCAAAAAAATCTCAAGTGTTCTAGAATGTTCCTAAAAACTCTCAGAACTCGATGAAACAGATTGAACATTCGTTAGAAAAAAATTTAAATGATTTCAAAAATTTCTGAAACGTTCTAGAATGTTCCAAAAAAATTTGAAAATGTTCTAGAATGTTCCTAAAAACTCTCAAATTCGATGGAACAGATTAAAAACTCGTTGCAAAAATTTTTAGATCGTTTCAAAAAATTTTGAAACGGTTTAGAATGTTCCAAAAAATTCTGAAATGTTCTAGAATTTCCCTAAAAATTCTCAGAACTCGTTGGAACAGATTGAAAACTAGTTGGAAAAAAATTTAGATCGTTTCAAAAAATTCTGGAACGGTCTAAAGTGTTCCAAAAAATTCTGAAATAATTTAGAATTTTCCTAAAAACTCTCAAAACTCTATGGAACAGATTGAAAACTCGTTGGAAAAAAATTTAGATTGTTTCAAAAAATTCTGCAACATCCTAGAATGTTCCAAAAAAAGTTTCAACTCGAAATTACGTTGTTTGGAAAGCTGCAAAGAGTTAAAAAAATGTTTTGGAAGGTTCTAGAACGTTCCAAAAAATTCTAGAATATTTTTAAAAATTCTTAGAAGTCATTGGAACAAATTAAAAACTTATTGAAAAAAAATTAGATTGTTTTAAAAAATTCTGGAACGTTCTAGAATGTTCCAAAAAATTTTAAAATGTTTCTAAAAATTCTCACAACTCGTTGAAACAGATTGAAACTCGTTGGAAAAAAGTTTAGATCGTTTCAAAAAATTCTAAAACGTTCTAGAATGTTCCAAAAAATTCGTAAATGTTCTTGAATTTCACTAAAAATTCTCAGAACTTGTTGCAACAGATTGAAAACTTGTTGGAAAAAAAATTAGATCGTTTCAAAAAATTCTGAAACGTTCTAGAATGTTCCAAAAAATTCAGAAATATTCTAGAGTTTCCCTAAAAATTCTCAGAACTCGTTGGAACAGATTGAAAACTCGTTGGAAAAAAATTTAGATCGTTTCAAAAAATTCTGGAACGGTCTAAAGTGTTCCAAAAAATTCTGAAATAATTTAGAATTTTCCTAAAAACTCTCAAAACTCGATGGAACAGATTGAAAACTCGTTGGAAAAAAATTAAGATTGTTTCAAAAAAATTCTAAAACGTTCTAGAATGTTCCAAAAAATTCTAGAATATTTTTAAAAATTCTTAGAAGTCATTGGAACAAATTAAAAACTTATTGAAAAAAAATTAGATTGTTTTAAAAAATTCTGGAACGTTCTAGAATGTTCCAAAAAATTTTAAAATGTTTCTAAAAATTCTCACAACTCGTTGAAACAGATTGAGACTCGTTGGAAAAAAATTTAGATCGTTTCAAAAAATTCTAAAACGTTCTAGAATGTTCCAAAAAATTCGTGAATGTTCTTGAATTTCACTAACAATTCTCAGAACTTGTTGCAACAGATTGAGAACTTGTTGGAAAAAAAATTAGATTGTTTCAAAAAATTCTGAAACGTTCTAGAATATTCCAAAAAATTCAGAAATGTTCTAGAATTTCCCTAAAAATTCTCAGAACTCGTTGGAACAGATTGAAAACTCGTTGGAAAAAAATTTAGATCGTTTCAAAAAATTTTGAAACGGTCTAAAGTGTTCCAAAAAATTCTGAAATAATTTGGAATTTTCCTAAAAACTCTCAGAACTCGATGGAACAGATTGAAAACTCGTTGGAAAAAAATTTAGATCGTTTCGAAAAAAATTCTAAAACGTTCTAGAATGTTCCAAAAAATTCTAGAATATTTTTAAAAATTCTTAGAAGTCATTGGAACAAATTAAAATCTTATTGAAAAAAAATTAGATTGTTTTAAAAAATTCTGGAACGTTCTAGAATGTTCCAAAAAATTTTAAAATGTTTCTAAAAATTCTCACAACTCGTTGAAACAGATTGAAACTCGTTGGAAAAAAATTTAGATCGTTTCAAAAAATTCTGAAACGTTCTAGAATGTTCCAGAAAACTCTGAAATGTTCTAGAATTTTACTAAAAATTCTCAGAACTCATTGGAACTGTATAAAAACTCGTTGGGAAAAAAATTGAGATCGTTTCAAAAAGTTCTGGAACGTTCTAGAATGTTCCAAAAAAATCTCAAGTGTTCTAGAATGTTCCTAAAAACTCTCAGAACTCGATGAAACAGATTGAACATTCGTTAGAAAAAAATTTAAATGATTTCAAAAATTTCTGAAACGTTCTAGAATGTTCCAAAAAAATTTGAAAATGTTCTAGAATGTTCCTAAAAACTCTCAAATTCGATGGAACAGATTAAAAACTCGTTGCAAAAATTTTTAGATCGTTTCAAAAAAATTTGAAACGGTTTAGAAGGTTCCAAAAAATTCTGAAATGTTCGAGAATTTGCCTAAAAATTCTCAGAACTCGTTGGAACAAATTGAAAACTCGTTAAAAAAAGAATTTAGATCGTTTCAAAAAATTCTGGAACGGTCTGGAGTGTTCCAAAAAATTCTGAAATAATTTAGAATTTTCCTAAAAACTCTCAGAACTCGATGGAACATATTGAAAACTTATTTGAAAAAAAATTTAGATCGTTTCAAAAAATTCTGAAACGGTCTAAAGTGTTCCAAAAAATTCTGAAATAATTTAGAATTTTCCTAAAAACTCTCAGAACTCGATGGAACAGATTGAAAACTCGTTGGAAAAAATTTAGATCGTTTCAAAAAAATCCTAAAACGTTCTAGAATGTTCCAAAAAATTCAGAAATGTTTTAGAATTTCGCTAAAAATTCTCAGAACTGGTTGGAAAAAATTCTGGAATGTTTTAGAATATTCCAAAAAAATTCCCAAAAATTCTCAGTACTTGTTGGAACAAAAAAATTTTGACAGATGATGTCAAATCAGGCCAACGAGTAACAATTTTTACTGACAAAAACTACATGATCGTATAGATTCGACCCCGAGCAACAAGTAAAAAATTCTAAAAAAAAAAAATTATCATCTATTTTGACAGCTGTCAACGTCAAAAATATGATATATGATATATGACATCTGTTATTATTAACAAAGTGTCGAGCGACAAAACTTATACTCAAAATTTGACATATGTGTCAAAAAAATCACGTTTTTCGTTGGTAGTAAAAAGTATGTGTCAGATTTAACAGATGACATTTGTCAAAATGTCAGGCGTCAAAAATTCTATCCGAGTGCGTCTTTCAAATTTGACATATCACAAAAAAGACATTGTCACGATGTAATTTTTTGACGTATGTCAATGTCAATAATTTTCTTGTAAGGGTTTTTGGGTGGTCCGACCATCGTAAATTTTTTTAATCATAAAAAAACTTTGTTAACGTTGACATCTGTCAAATTTTTTTGATAATCGCCGCCATATTGGTGTGTCACCATTTCTGACGTCATAACTAATGGCCGAATTTATATCGTTCCTTGAATCTTTATTGGAAATGCAAGTTTAGAATGGACACTACTTGCTACTATTTGACAAGTTACTCATGTCAATTCTAAACGTCCAAGGCTTGCTTAAGGTCTGAGCAAACCTTATAAATGCGGCCCTCAAAAAATTCGAAAAAAAACTTGAACACGTCACTGCAAAATGGCCGACTAAAAGCGACGTTGTCACATGATATATTATCTAAATAAGGCCTTGAAAACTTTCAATGAAAATAACATATTAAAAGGTTTACTTATCGAGTATACATGAGTAAGACAAAGACAACAATAAAGTAGTATATATTGTAACTGTAACTCTTATGTAATGGCCATTATAATATCCAAAGTCTACTCGATTAAAACCTATCTATTGATTTTGGTGCAATTTAATAGGAATTACGACACGTTGCCTACGTCATCACTGGTACATTGGCATGGCAAGAGAAATTCGCTAAGGGTCGGTTTCTCAATAGCAAATCACCTCCAGGATTAGTTTTAACTTTATGGTAATCTATTCCCCTATTCCAATATGGCCGTCCAGGTCAAATTGTGGTGAAGTTCATAGAAAAAAAAAAACATTTTTGTTCAGTAGATGCCATGGTCTAAGGTGTCAGACCTGTAACTTCCATATTGAATTTCGTTTGACACGTCACGAGGTTGCCTAATATTTATCCTTGCATTAATGCTTAACCCGAAGGTGACTTGCTATTGAAAATCCAGCCCTTAAATTCTTCAAAGTAGAAACTTACTTATTTTCTTCAGGGCCTCCTGAGCGCACAAAGGATACTCCAATTTTCTCAAAGTTTGTTTTAAATTAACTTCCGAAGAACCCGACATAATTAATTATTAATTAAATTAAATATTAATTAATTTAACAAGAAGCCAAAAATTGAGGTTAGAGTTGACAAGACAATCAAAATAAACAACTTTTAAAAATGTCGTACCGATTACTGTCACTTGTCAACTTCAAAAGTATCAATCGGATAGTGGCTATGTTCCGATATCAACTGTCAGCGGAGTTAGAACAGTGTTTTCGAACCCAGAGCAGTTTTTTTTAATTACTCGGAATTGTATTCTCTTTACTCTACCGGTTCGTGTATCTCACTCGGAACAAGATTATTGATGTTCGAACATCGAAAAAAAGAAAACGCCTAAATCGGAAATGTCATTTCGATGACGTCATTACAACATTAAACAAGCAAAACAACAACATAACCTTGACTTTTGCCAAAAAAATTTTTAATTTTCCATTAATCCAAGTTTAAAATAATGGAATATTCAATTGCAAACGTGGAACATTTCAAATTCGACATAGAAATTGCGTTGGAAGAACAATATGGCGCCCTGCCTTTGCCGTTTCCCGGAATGGACAGTAAGTTGATTGAAATTACATAAAATTCCAACGAAATTACACAAAATTTTAATGAAATTACATGGAAATAATGCGTAATATCAGTGAATTCTAATTTAGGCAATCCATCTGTCAAAAAGAAAAATTCAATATGGCGTGGCGGCCAAGCAGGTTTGTTTTTATGCGTAGAAAATAGATATTTTTTGGCCCATGTGTGGCCGCCACGCCATCTTGAATGTCACGTGGTTTTGGATCAAAAAGAATACACACTATATTGGTTTTCAACCATTGCCGGCGTCATAACTTAAGACGAGAAACGCCATGCTGTTTACGTCACAACTGGTTCCACTTATTAAAAATTCCAGAATCGTCTACGGCCGTTTGTCAATTCTACAGCAGCCAACGAGGTTGTCCGAAAGGGCACAACTGTCCCTTTCGGCATGTACGAGGCGACCGCACCATAGTTTGCAAACACTGGCTACGAGGGTTGTGCAAAAAGGGAGACCAGTGCGAGTTTTTGCACGAGTACGACATGACGAAGATGCCCGAGTGCTATTTTTACTCCCGATTCAACGCCTGTCACAATAAGGAGTGCCCGTTTTTGCACATCGATCCCGAGAGTAAAATCAAGGATTGTCCGTGGTACGATCGGGGGTTTTGTCGGCACGGACCGCACTGTCGGCACAGGTGAGTATATGGCACTTATTTTAACGAATGACGTCATTAAAAGGACCTATCAAAATTGTTGTTTTTGTCCAAGGTTGTCTGGTAATGGAATTGATGGGGTTTAGCATTATAATAGAGCACCCTAGATGACGTCATAAAGTTATCAGGGCAATCTACCTTACCTCTCTTAAGGCAAACTTTAATTATTCCCGGCGCTTGAGAGGCCACTAAAGAGAGACAGTAATATAAGAAACTCAACAAATAAGAAAGACAAAGAAAACGACATCAGAAAAAAAAAGAAAATCTTTGGATTCGCGTTCTTCTTTTTTCTGTAATAGGCTAATAGCTCAAGTAGGCTTTGGATTTTTGTTCTTCTCTTTTTTAACTCAAGTAGGCTTTGAATTTTTGCTCTTCTTTTTTTTTGGAAAACGCTAATAACTCAAGTACTTTGGATTTTTTTTCTTCTTTTTTTTTGAAAAACGCTAAACTTTGGATGTTTGCTCTTCTTTTTCTTGAAAAATACTAAAAATTCAAGGAAATTTAATAGATTATTTTTCATTTAAGTCAAATTGTACTTATTTTAATGGTTGACCAAGGATATCGCCTTGATGACGTCATTGAGAGACCTATTAAAAATGTTGTTTTTGTGCAAGGTTCCTAAAATTAATAGGTTGTCCGCTTGATGACGCAACATATTGACTTTTTATCATTTTCCAATGAGTTTCTAGAAAGTTCCCAAAAAGTTTCAACGAGTTTCTAGTGTTCCAACATGTTTAAAAAAAACTTATCGAATTTTTTTAAATCATTTTTTGGACTCTTAAATGAATTTTCATCATTTTCCAATGAGTTTCTAGAAAGTTTCCAAAAATTTCCAACGAGTTTCTAGTGTTCCAACATGTTTAAAAAAACTTATCGAATTTTTTTAAATCATTTTTTTAGACTTTTGAATAAATTTTTATCATTTTCCAATGAGTTTCTAAAAAGTTTCCAAAAATTTCCAACGAGTTTCTAGTGTTCCAACATGTTTAAAAAAACTTATAGAATTTTTTTAAATCATTTTTTAGACTTCTGATGAATTTTTATCATTTTCCAATGAGTTTCTAGAAAGTTTCCAAAAATTTCCAACGAGTTTCTAGTGTTCCAACATGTTTAAAAAAACTTATCGAATTTTTTAAAATCATTCTTTGGACTCTTAAATGAATTTTCATCATTTTCCAATGAGTTTCTAGAAAGTTTCCAAAAAGTTCCAACGAGTTTCTAGTGTTCCAACATGTTTAAAAAACTTGTCGAATTTTTTTTAAATCATTTTTTGGACTCTTAATGAATTTTTATCATTTTCCAATGAATTTCTTGAAAGTTTCCAAAAATTTCCAACGAGTTTCTAGTGTTCCAACATGTTTAAAAAAACTTGTCGAATTTTTTTAAAATCATTTTTTGGACTTTTAATGAATTTTTATCATTTTCCAATGAGTTTCTAAAAAGTTTCCAAAAAGTTCCAGCGAGTTTCTAGTGTTCCAACATGTTTAAAAAAACTTATCGAATTTTTTAAAATCATTCTTTGGACTCTTAAATGAATTTTCATCATTTTCCAACGAGTTTCTAGTGTTCCAACATGTTTAAAAAAACTTATCGAATTTTTTAAAATCATTTTTTGGACTCTTAAATGAATTTTCATCATTTTCCAATGAGTTTCTAGAAAGTTTCCAAAAATTTCCAACGAGTTTCTAGTGTTCCAACATGTTTAAAAAAACTTGTCGAATTTTTTTAAAATCATTTTTTGGACTTTTAATGAATTTTTATCATTTTCCAATGAGTTTCTAAAAAGTTTCCAAAAAGTTCCAGCGAGTTTCTAGTGTTCCAACATGTTTAAAAAAACTTATAGAATTTTTTTATATAATTTTTTAGACTTCTGATGAATTTTTATCATTTTCCAATGAGTTTCTGGAAAGTTTCCAAAAATTTCCAACGAGTTTCTAGTGTTCCAACATGTTTAAAAAAACTTATAGAATTTTTTTAAATCATTTTTTATACTTTTAATGAATCTTTATCATTTTCGAATGAGTTTCTAGAAAGTTTCCAAAAAGTTCCAACGAGTTTCTAGTGTTCCAACATGTTTAAAAAACTTGTCGAATTTTTTTTAAATCATTTTTTGGACTCTTAATGAATTTTTATCATTTTCTAATGAATTTCTTGAAAGTTTCCAAAAATTTCCAACGAGTTTCTAGTGTTCCAACATGTTTAAAAAAACTTGTCGAATTTTTTTAAAATCATTTTTTGGACTTTTAATGAATTTTTATCATTTTCCAATGAGTTTCTAAAAAGTTTCCAAAAAGTTCCAGCGAGTTTCTAGTGTTCCAACATGTTTAAAAAAACTTATCGAATTTTTTAAAATCATTCTTTGGACTCTTAAATGAATTTTCATCATTTTCCAACGAGTTTCTAGTGTTCCAACATGTTTAAAAAAAACTTATCGAATTTTTTTAAATCATTTTTTGGACTCTTAAATGAATTTTTATCATTTTCCAATGAATTTCTTGAAAGTTTCCAAAAATTTCCAACGAGTTTCTAGTGTTCCAACATGTTTAAAAAAACTTGTCGAATTTTTTTAAAATCATTTTTTGGACTTTTAATGAATTTTTATCATTTTCCAATGAGTTTCTAAAAAGTTTCCAAAAAGTTCCAGCGAGTTTCTAGTGTTCCAACATGTTTAAAAAAACTTATAGAATTTTTTTATATAATTTTTTAGACTTCTGATGAATTTTTATCATTTTCCAATGAGTTTCTGGAAAGTTTCCAAAAATTTCCAACGAGTTTCTAGTGTTCCAACATGTTTAAAAAAACTTATAGAATTTTTTTAAATCATTTTTTAGACTTCTGATGAATTTTTATCATTTTCCAATGAGTTTCTAGAAAGTTTCCAAAAATTTCCAACGAGTTTCTAGTGTTCCAACATGTTTAAAAAAACTTATCGAATTTTTTTAAATCATTTTTTATACTTTTAATGAATCTTTATCATTTTCGAATGGGTTTCTAGAAAGTTTCCAAAAAGTTCCAACGAGTTTCTAGTGTTTCAACATGTTTAAAAAAACTTGTAGAATTTTTTTTAAATCATTTTTTGGACTCTTAATGAATTTTCATCATTTTCCAATGAATTTCTGGAAAGTTTCCAAAAATTTCCAACGAGTTTCTAGTGTTCCAACATGTTTAAAAAAACTTATCGAATTTTTTTAAATCATTTTTTGGACTCTTAAATGAATTTTCATCATTTTCCAATGAGTTTCTAGAAAGTTTCCAAAAAGTTTCAACGAGTTTCTAGTGTTCCAACATGTTTAAAAAAACTTATAGAATTTTTTTAAATCATTTTTTAGACTTCTGATGAATTTTTATCATTTTCCAATGAGTTTCTAGAAAGTTTCCAAAAATTTCCAACGAGTTTCTAGTGTTCCAACATGTTTAAAAAAACTTATCGAATTTTTTTAAATCATTTTTTATACTTTTAATGAATCTTTATCATTTTCGAATGGGTTTCTAGAAAGTTTCCAAAAAGTTCCAACGAGTTTCTAGTGTTTCAACATGTTTAAAAAAACTTATAGAATTTTTTTAAATCATTTTTTAGACTTCTGATGAATTTTTATTATTTTCCAATGAGTTTCTAGAAAGTTTCCAAAAATTTCCAACGAGTTTCTAGTGTTCCAACATGTTTAAAAAAACTTATCGAATTTTTTTAAATCATTTTTTATACTTTTAATGAATCTTTATCATTTTCGAATGGGTTTCTAGAAAGTTTCCAAAAAGTTTCAACGAGTTTCTAGTGTTCCAACATGTTTAAAAAAACTTATAGAATTTTTTTAAATCATTTTTTAGACTTCTGATGAATTTTTATCATTTTCCAATGAGTTTCTAGAAAGTTTCCAAAAATTTCCAACGAGTTTCTAGTGTTCCAACATGTTTAAAAAAACTTATCGAATTTTTTTAAATCATTTTTTATACTTTTAATGAATCTTTATCATTTTCGAATGGGTTTCTAGAAAGTTTCCAAAAAGTTCCAACGAGTTTCTAGTGTTTCAACATGTTTAAAAAAACTTATAGAATTTTTTTAAATCATTTTTTAGACTTCTGATGAATTTTTATTATTTTCCAATGAGTTTCTAGAAAGTTTCCAAAAATTTCCAACGAGTTTCTAGTGTTCCAACATGTTTAAAAAAACTTATCGAATTTTTTTAAATCATTTTTTGGACTCTTAAATGAATTTTTATCATTTTCCAATGAATTTCTAGAAAGTTTCCAAAAAGTTTCAACGAGTTTCTAGTGTTCCAACATGTTTAAAAAAACTTATCGAATTTTTTTAAATCATTTTTTATACTTTTAATGAATCTTTATCATTTTCGAATGGGTTTCTAGAAAGTTTCCAAAAAGTTTCAACGAGTTTCTAGTGTTCCAACATGTTTAAAAAAACTTATAGAATTTTTTTAAATCATTTTTTAGACTTCTGATGAATTTTTATCATTTTCCAATGAGTTTCTAGAAAGTTTCCAAAAATTTCCAACGAGTTTCTAGTGTTCCAACATGTTTAAAAAAACTTATCGAATTTTTTTGAATCATTTTTTGGACTCTTAAATGAATTTTTATCATTTTCCAATGAATTTCTTGAAAGTTTCCAAAAATTTCCAACGAGTTTCTAGTGTTCCAACATGTTTAAAAAAACTTGTCGAATTTTTTTAAAATCATTTTTTGGACTTTTAATGAATTTTTATAATTTTCCAATGAGTTTCTAAAAAGTTTCCAAAAAGTTCCAGCGAGTTTCTAGTGTTCCAACATGTTTAAAAAAACTTGTCGAATTTTTTTAAAATCATTTTTTGGACTTTTAATGAATTTTTATAATTTTCCAATGAGTTTCTAAAAAGTTTCCAAAAAGTTCCAGCGAGTTTCTAGTGTTCCAACATGTTTAAAAAAACTTATAGAATTTTTTTATATAATTTTTTAGACTTCTGATGAATTTTTATCATTTTCCAATGAGTTTCTGGAAAGTTTCCAAAAATTTCCAACGAGTTTCTAGTGTTCCAACATGTTTAAAAAAACTTATAGAATTTTTTTAAATCATTTTTTAGACTTCTGATGAATTTTTATCATTTTCCAATGAGTTTCTAGAAAGTTTCCAAAAATTTCCAACGAGTTTCTAGTGTTCCAACATGTTTAAAAAAACTTATCGAATTTTTTTAAATCATTTTTTATACTTTTAATGAATCTTTATCATTTTCGAATGGGTTTCTAGAAAGTTTCCAAAAAGTTCCAACGAGTTTCTAGTGTTTCAACATGTTTAAAAAAACTTGTAGAATTTTTTTTAAATCATTTTTTGGACTCTTAATGAATTTTCATCATTTTCCAATGAATTTCTGGAAAGTTTCCAAAAATTTCCAACGAGTTTCTAGTGTTCCAACATGTTTAAAAAAACTTATCGAATTTTTTTAAATCATTTTTTGGACTCTTAAATGAATTTTCATCATTTTCCAATGAGTTTCTAGAAAGTTTCCAAAAAGTTTCAACGAGTTTCTAGTGTTCCAACATGTTTAAAAAAACTTATAGAATTTTTTTAAATCATTTTTTAGACTTCTGATGAATTTTTATCATTTTCCAATGAGTTTCTAGAAAGTTTCCAAAAATTTCCAACGAGTTTCTAGTGTTCCAACATGTTTAAAAAAACTTATAGAATTTTTTTAAATCATTTTTTAGACTTCTGATGAATTTTTATTATTTTCCAATGAGTTTCTAGAAAGTTTCCAAAAATTTCCAACGAGTTTCTAGTGTTCCAACATGTTTAAAAAAACTTATAGAATTTTTTTAAATCATTTTTTAGACTTCTGATGAATTTTTATTATTTTCCAATGAGTTTCTAGAAAGTTTCCAAAAATTTCCAACGAGTTTCTAGTGTTCCAACATGTTTAAAAAAACTTATCGAATTTTTTTAAATCATTTTTTATACTTTTAATGAATCTTTATCATTTTCGAATGGGTTTCTAGAAAGTTTCCAAAAAGTTCCAACGAGTTTCTAGTGTTTCAACATGTTTAAAAAAACTTATAGAATTTTTTTAAATCATTTTTTAGACTTCTGATGAATTTTTATCATTTTCCAATGAGTTTCTAGAAAGTTTCCAAAAATTTCCAACGAGTTTCTAGTGTTCCAACATGTTTAAAAAAACTTATCGAATTTTTTTAAATCATTTTTTATACTTTTAATGAATCTTTATCATTTTCGAATGGGTTTCTAGAAAGTTTCCAAAAAGTTTCAACGAGTTTCTAGTGTTCCAACATGTTTAAAAAAAACTTATAGAATTTTTTTAAATCATTTTTTAGACTTCTGATGAATTTTTATCATTTTCCAATGAGTTTCTAGAAAGTTTCCAAAAATTTCCAACGAGTTTCTAGTGTTCCAACATGTTTAAAAAAACTTATCGAATTTTTTTAAATCATTTTTTGGACTCTTAAATGAATTTTCATCATTTTCCAATGAGTTTCTAGAAAGTTTCCAAAAAGTTTCAACGAGTTTCTAGTGTTCCAACATGTTTAAAAAAACTTATAGAATTTTTTTAAATCATTTTTTAGACTTCTGATGAATTTTTATCATTTTCCAATGAGTTTCTAGAAAGTTTCCAAAAATTTCCAACGAGTTTCTAGTGTTCCAACATGTTTAAAAAAACTTATAGAATTTTTTTAAATCATTTTTTAGACTTCTGATGAATTTTTATTATTTTCCAATGAGTTTCTAGAAAGTTTCCAAAAATTTCCAACGAGTTTCTAGTGTTCCAACATGTTTAAAAAAACTTATAGAATTTTTTTAAATCATTTTTTAGACTTCTGATGAATTTTTATTATTTTCCAATGAGTTTCTAGAAAGTTTCCAAAAATTTCCAACGAGTTTCTAGTGTTCCAACATGTTTAAAAAAACTTATCGAATTTTTTTAAATCATTTTTTATACTTTTAATGAATCTTTATCATTTTCGAATGGGTTTCTAGAAAGTTTCCAAAAAGTTCCAACGAGTTTCTAGTGTTTCAACATGTTTAAAAAAACTTATAGAATTTTTTTAAATCATTTTTTAGACTTCTGATGAATTTTTATCATTTTCCAATGAGTTTCTAGAAAGTTTCCAAAAATTTCCAACGAGTTTCTAGTGTTCCAACATGTTTAAAAAAACTTATCGAATTTTTTTAAATCATTTTTTATACTTTTAATGAATCTTTATCATTTTCGAATGGGTTTCTAGAAAGTTTCCAAAAAGTTTCAACGAGTTTCTAGTGTTCCAACATGTTTAAAAAAACTTATAGAATTTTTTTAAATCATTTTTTAGACTTCTGATGAATTTTTATCATTTTCCAATGAGTTTCTAGAAAGTTTCCAAAAATTTCCAACGAGTTTCTAGTGTTCCAACATGTTTAAAAAAACTTATCGAATTTTTTTAAATCATTTTTTGGACTCTTAAATGAATTTTCATCATTTTCCAATGAGTTTCTAGAAAGTTTCCAAAAAGTTTCAACGAGTTTCTAGTGTTCCAACATGTTTAAAAAAACTTATAGAATTTTTTTAAATCATTTTTTAGACTTCTGATGAATTTTTATCATTTTTCAATGAGTTTCTAGAAAGTTTCCAAAAAGTTCCAACGAGTTTCTAGTGTTCCAACATGTTTAAAAAAACTTATCGAATTTTTTAAAATCATTCTTTGGACTCTTAAATGAATTTTCATCATTTTCCAATGAGTTTCTAGAAAGTTTCCAAAAAGTTCCAACGAGTTTTCTTATGTTTCGATATAATGAAAAAAACTCGCTGAAATTTCAGGCACGTAAGACGAATCCTGTGCACCAACTACCTGGCCGGTTTCTGCTCAGAAGGCCCCTTGTGCAAGCACATGCACCCCCGTTTCGACCTCCCCTCCCCACCGGATCAGAAGCCTCAGGACAAAAACAAACCTCCGATAATCGTCTGCCATTTCTGCGGCGAGCACGGCCACAAGGCGATCCACTGCAACAAAATGTCCGAGCACCATCGTCAGAAGGAGCTTCAGAATCTGATCAACAACAGCAAAGAGCCGCTGGCTCTGATCCGGCCGGCTCAGAAGAAGTTGGAGGATGTTACGTGTTACAAGTGCGGCTGCAAAGGGCATTATGCTAATCGGTGTCCGAAGGGGAATTTGGCCTTTTTATCTCAGAAGGCCAATTTGACTCAGAAATGAGTCGGTGGCTCAAATGAATGTTGATTAAATTTGTTATTTTGCTCAGAAACTGTTGATTTATTTTGTCCGTTTTCTAATAAATGAAACGTCGTTGACACTTGTCTTTTTACTCAGAAATAAATTTTGAAAAAACTGTTCTAGAGTGACTCCAGTTAATGTTCCGACTCTACTTTAATATTTCAGGTTGGAATCTGAAATAGAATTCTACTTTTATGACGTCACCCGCGATATATTTATCGCGTACAGTACAGGCGATGATGATGAAAATAGTAAAATTCTACTAGCACAGGACCAAAAATTACTTTAAATAGAATTCTATTTTAATCAAAATAGAATTCCATCGTAGAGTAAACTTTTCCTGCTCTGAAAAAAAAATAACGTCGGTTGAATGCACCCAAACGTCAAACCAACCCGAAATCACCTAAACTGTCAACATAACCTCGAAATTTTCCCCTTTTGACATTTTGTAGTTGTTTTTCTTCTGACCCAAAATCCCCAAACAAAAATGGTCAGAAAACGGTCCAGAACGGCCTCGACCCGTCGAAAAACCTACGACAGCGACGACGAAGACCTGGAAAGCGACTCAGAAATCAATTCCAGCCCGGAAGCGTCGCCCCAGCCCAAACGCTACGGCCTCAGACAGCGAACCAAGAAAACAATATTCTTCGAAGACTACGAAGACTTTGAAGAGCCTCAGAAATCTAAGGCGGACAGCTCAGAAGACGACGAGTACCAAATTGAAGAGGATCTGAAAAGTTTCAAAACTGTAAACCACAAAACGCGTAGAAGCAGGTTGAAGATTACTCCGAGAAGGAAAAGTCTTCAGTTGTCGGTGTTGGAAAATGATCCGTCTGAAGATTTGACAGTTTCGGTTGGTGCAATTCTGCCACTTGATTTGGAGCAGGATCAGGATCTGAACGATGGGTTGATTGATTATGAGGACATGATCAGAGCGGATGTTGTGGTTAATAAGAAGTTGGACGAGGAGGGGGCGAGTAAGGCTGATGCTCAGGAGATCAGAAAAGGGGGTGACAATAGTATGGATAAAGGTGAGTTAGTATTAGAGCTCAGAAGGTTTTATATTGTAGGGCTCAGAAAGTTTAATTTTCTTTGTAATTTTTTTATTTATTCCAGGTTTTTTTGAAAGTCTCAGAAGGAAATTTTCTGAGTTACTTTTGAAGCTTTTAAGGAATTTTAGGTTTTCCTTACTTTCCTCTTTTTCCTGAAAAAATATACAAAATTTCTCTCTTCCAGTTTTCCAGAAAAAAATTAAACTTTTACATACAGAGTGAATTTTCCTTATTTATGCTTATAAAAATCAATTTTCCAGAATTTTTCCTGGAGTGATTTTCCACTGGAAAGTTTTGAAATTTTGCTATAATGAGTTCCCAACTTTCCTCTTTTTCCTGTGAAAATTTCACAATTTTCCCTTTGCTAGTTTTCCAGGAAAAAATTAAAATGTAAAAGAGTGTATTTTCCATAATTTTGCTTATAAAAGTCAATTTCCAGGAATTTCTCCTGGAGTGATTTACCATTGGAAAGTTGTGAAATTTTGCTATAATAAGCTCCTGACTTTCCTCTTTCTCCTGTGAAAATTTCACAATTTTCTCTTTGCTAGTTTTCCAGGAAAAAATTAAAATGTAAGAGGATCAATTTTCCATAATTTTGCTTATAAACGTCACTTATTTTGACATTTTTGGACAATTAAAAAATCCAAGAAACAGACGTACAAGCCTATAACACGAAATTTAAAAATTCCCAGAAAAAATACAAACAGTGGCAACGCTGTAAAATAATAAAAACTTCACTTATTTTGACGTTTTTGACAATTAAAAAATTCGAAAAACAGACTCACAAACTTATAATTCGAAATTTAAAAATTCCAAGAAAAAATACAAACAGTGGCAACGCTGTAAAATAATAAAAACTTCACTTATTTTGACAGTTTTGACAATTGAAAAATTCGAAAAACAAACTCACAAGCCTATAATACGAAATTTAAAAATTCCAAGAAAAAAAAGGAACAGTGGCAACGCTGTAAAATAATAAAAACTTCACTTATTTTGACATTTTTGACAATTAAAAAATCCAAAAAACAGACTCATAAGCCTATAAAACGAAATTTAAAAATTCCAAAAAAAAATACAAACAGTGGCAACGCTGTAAAATAATAAAAACTTCACTTATTTTCACATTTTTGACAATTAAAAAATACAAAAAACAGACTCACAAGCCTAAAACACGAAATTTAAAAATTCCCAGAAAAAATACAAACAGTGGCAACGCTGTAAAATAATAATAATTTCACTTATTTTGACGTTTTTGACATTAAAAAAATCCAAAAAACAGCCTCACAGCCTTATAATACGAAATTTAAAAATTCAAAGAAAAAATACAAACAGCGGCAACGCTGTAAAATAATAAAAACTTCACTTATTTTGACAGTTTTGACAATTAAAAAATCCAAAAAACAGACTCACAAGCCTATAACATGAAATTTAAAAATTCCAAGAGAAAATACAAACAGTGGCAACGCTGTAAAATAATAAAAACTTCATTTATTTTGACGTTTTTGACAATTAAAAAATCCAAAAAACAGACTCACAAGCCTATAATACGAAATTTAAAAATTCCCAGAAAAAATACAAACAGCGGCAACGCTGTAAAATAATAAAAACTTCACTTATTTTGACAGTTTTGACAATTGAAAAATTCGAAAAACAAACTCACAAGCCTATAATACGAAATTTAAAAATTCCAAGAAAAAAAAGGAACACTGGCAACACTGTACCATAATAAAAAATTGACTTATTTTGACGTTATTGACAATTAAAAAATCCAAAAAACAGACTCATAAGCCTATAAAACGAAATTTAAAAATTCCAAAAAAAAATACAAACAGTGGCAACGCTGTAAAATAATAAAAACTTCACTTATTTTCACATTTTTGACAATTAAAAAATACAAAAAACAGACTCACAAGCCTAAAACACGAAATTTAAAAATTCCCAGAAAAAATACAAACAGTGGCAACGCTGTAAAATAATAATAATTTCACTTATTTTGACGTTTTTGACATTAAAAAAATCCAAAAAACAGCCTCACAGCCTTATAATACGAAATTTAAAAATTCAAAGAAAAAATACAAACAGCGGCAACGCTGTAAAATAATAAAAACTTCACTTATTTTGACAGTTTTGACAATTAAAAAATCCAAAAAACAGACTCACAAGCCTATAACATGAAATTTAAAAATTCCAAGAGAAAATACAAACAGTGGCAACGCTGTAAAATAATAAAAACTTCATTTATTTTGACGTTTTTGACAATTAAAAAATCCAAAAAACAGACTCACAAGCCTATAATACGAAATTTAAAAATTCCAAGAAAAAATACAAACAGTGGCAACGCTGTAAAATAATAAAATTTTCACTTATTTTGACATTTTTGACAATTAAAAAATCCAAAAAACAGACTCACAAGCCTACAACACGAAATTTAAAAATTCCCAGAAAAAATACAAAACTTCACTTATTTTGACAGTTTTGACAATTGAAAAATTCGAAAAACAAACTCACAAGCCTATAATACGAAATTTAAAAATTCCAAGAAAAAAAAGGAACACTGGCAACACTGTACCATAATAAAAAATTGACTTATTTTGACGTTATTGACAATTTAAAAATCCAAAAAACAGACTCGCAGGCCTATAACACGAAATATAAAAATTCCAAGAAAAAATACAAACAGTGGCAACACTGTAAAATAATAAAATTTTCACTTATTTTGACATTTTGGCCAATTAAAAAATCCAAAAAACAGACTCACAAGCCTACAACACGAAATTTAAAAATTCCCAGAAAAAATACAAACAGCGGCAACGCTGTAAAATAATAAAAACTTCATTTATTTTGACGTTTTTGACAATTAAAAAATCCAAAAAACAGACTCACAAGCCTATAACACAAAATTTAAAAATTCCAAGAAAAAAAAAACAGTGGCAACACTGTAAAATAATAAAAATTTCACTTATTTTGACAGTTTTGACAATTGAAAATTCAATAAACAGACTCACAAGCCTCTAACACGAAATTTTAAAAATCCAAGAAAAAAAAACCAACACTGGCAACACTGTAACATAATAAAAATTTGACTTATTTTGACGTTATTGACAATTTAAAAATCCAAAAAACAGACTCACAAGCCTATGACACGAAATTTAAAAATTCCAAGAAAAAATACAACCAGTGGCAACGTTGTAAAATAATAAAAACTTCACTTATTTTGACGTGTGTGATAATTGAAAACTCAAAATGTGCAGTCGCACAAGCTTATAACACCTCAGAATTTCGTTATTTCTGAGCTGATTTTGATAAATTTTTTTTTTGAAAAGAAGCTAATTAAATTCCCTACAAATCTGTCATTTCAGTTTTGACAGTTTCGTGTCTCAGAAGCTTCAAAATTGCCGCTCAGAAATTTCAAAATTTAAATGAGCCAACAGGCATTTTTCAAAAGAACGACATTGAGTCAGTTTTTGACTCAGAACTTCGTTTTTTCTGAGCCGATTTTGATTAAAAAAATTTTAAAATGAAGTCAATATAATACCCTACAAACCTGTCAATTTAGTTTTGACACTTTTTTATTCTTTAAATGTCAATTTCAGGTCGAAGAGGTCGCAAACCGAAAAAAAAATTCTCCCCCGCCGCCGTGGACGACGACGCTTCCGCCAAGCTCGAAGTCCAAATCGACCCCGCAAACTTCGTGCACCAGAACGAGATCAGAAAAACCAACGGTCTGAGCCCGGCGAGCACCAGAAGCCGCAAAAAACCGGCTCAGAACGGCGCGAAAATCGAACTCGCCCCCTCAATTCTTGACGGAATCGAAAAATTCGTCCCCCCCAACCTGGATGATAAGGAAAAAGAAGTCGTTCTGAGCAACGAGTATTTGCTCGGAAACAGCTTTGACATGACGGCGGATCAGTTTTTGGAACGTCAAAAGGAGCCTCAGAAAGAGGAGGAGGAGGATCAGAACTTGCTTCAGAATTTGCCTCCAATGGATTTTGATGAAAGCGGCAGCGACGATGACGTAGTGATTATTGAGAAAAAGCCGGAAATCATCGTTTTAGATGACGACTGAAGATTAAAAAAAAAACTTTTCTGAGTGTATGTTTTCTGAGTACTTTTTAAGGATTAATTTTAATAATTGGTTTGTTCACACGGAGACGAAATCGGATTTTAATTATTTTGTACATATTATTAAGTAGGGTATTTCAAATTTTTTCTCCTCAAATAATTATAAATAAAAATAGTTTTAAATTTGACTTGTGTTTGATTTCTGAGTCAAAAAGTATTTCTGAGTTAAAATATTTTTCTGAGTCAAAATTTATTTTTGAGCAAAATATGTTTTTTGCAAGGCATAAAGTATTTCCGAGTAAAAATATTTTTCTGAGTCAAAAATGTATTTCTGAGTTATGAAGTATTTCTGAGCAAAAAATGTTTTTTTTCAAGGCATAATGTATTTCCGAATTAAAATATTTTCTGAGTCAAAAATGTATTTCACTGAATCCAAAAGTATTTGCAATTCTGAGCAAAACGTTATTCTAAGTCAAAATGCATTTTAGATTGCAAAATGTAATTTCAGGTCATGTATGCATTTCTGACTCAAAATGTATTTCTGAGCAAAAGATTTTTTTTAAGGCATAATGTATTTCCGAATAAAAATATTTTTCTGAGTCAAAAATGTATTTCTGAGTCCTGATGTATTTCTGAGTCACAATGTATTTCACTGTATCCAAAAGTGTTTGCAATTCTGAGCAAAACGTTATTCTAAGTCAAAGCGCATTTTTGATTGAAAAATGTAATTTCAGGTTATGTATGCATTTCTGAGTCAAAATGTATTTCTGAGCAAAAGATGTTTTTTTTTCAAGGCATAATGTATTTTCGAATTGAAATATTTTTCTGAGTCAAAAATGTATTTCTGAGTCCTGATGTATTTCTGAGTTACAATGTATTTCACTGAATCCAAAAGTATTTGCAATTCTGAGCAAAACGTTATTCTAAGTCAAAATGCATTTTTGATTGAAAAATGTAATTTCAGGTCATGTATGCATTTCTGAGTCAAAATGTATTTCTGAGCAAAAGATGTTTTTTTTCAAGGCATAATGTATTTCCGAATTAAAATATTTTTCTGAGTAAAAAATTTATTTCTGAGTCCTGATGTATTTCTGAGTGACAATGTATTTTACTGAATCCAAAAGTATTTGCAATTCTGAGCAAAACGTTATTCTAAGTCAAAATGCATTTTAGATTGCAAAATGTAATTTCAGGTCATGTATGCATTTCTGAGTCAAAATGTATTTCTGAGCAAAAAATGTTTTTTTTCAAGGCATAATGTATTTCCGAATTAAAATATTTTTCTGAGTCCTGATGTATTTCTAGAAATAAAAATCTCAAGCTCCTTACCACGCTAAAGTACCACTGATGACGTAACAGTGTGTCGTTTCTCGCTTCAACATTCTATTTGCACCATAAAGACACTCTGACTGTTCGATAATTTTATTCTATTTGCTCCGAGTATGACGTATAAGTAGTGCATTCGACCGACGTTATTTTTTTTTTGGACTAGAATTCTATTTTAAATGACAAATCGTGAAGAAAATAGAAATAGAATTTTATTTAGAGTGATTAGGGCACTGAAGTGGAGTCGGAACAATATTTTTAAAGTCAAAAAAAGCAGTTTTATATTCGGAGTAAATAGAGTAAGATTATTGGCATGTGACAAGTGTTTGCAAGTTACTAAAATAGAATTCTATTCAAGGTGATTCGGGTTTTGGAGTAGATTAAACCAATTTGTAGATGACGTCATCGCTGGTGAACGCGGAAAAAATGGTAGGTTTGAGGCAACGATAAACAGAATTTGAGTAAAAAATGTTGACACCTGCAACGATAAATAGAATTCTATTTTAGTTAAAAACGGCTTAAAATAATTTGTAGATGACGTCATCTTTGGCGCATGTGAGAAAATGGAAAGTTTGAACACAGTCTTATGTCAACGGGCTTTTTTGAACCAGGTTCAATGTGACGTCACTGCAGGTTCGAACCTATTTGAACCAGTTCCACCGCGAAAAAACAGCTCAAAATTTGACAGTATGAGTAGCGTTTTCGAATTGCTAGTCTGGAGTCACGATAAATAGAATTCTATTTGTTTTAACGTCAGATAAAAAGATTACCAAAATAGAATTCTATTCAAAATCTATTGGAGTAAAATTGTTGAAACCAGACGTCAAAATTTGACAGTTTCAAGTACCAAAAAAAAAAAAAAAAAACAATTCAACTTTTATTCATCAAATATTGCTTCATAACTTTCTTGCCCGGCACCAAATTCTGACTGAGTCCGGGCCTTTTTCTCTTACCCCCAATTGGTACCCCGTGATTCGTTCCTTCAAAATGACAGATGACACTTTCGGCTCGCGCCTGCTCGGTTTCATTGCTCAATTGGTCGGCGCTTTTGCGCAGGTCCGAGTCGTGCGCGAACTTGCACTGATGCCCGAACCTACAGCGCCCCTTGCGGTGGTTCCAGCAGATTTTCTTGCCGTTTATCAGGACCGGATCGTGCGCGCTGATCATTTTCACGTGTTTTTGTAAAATGGCCGCCTCGGCGTTTTCCGCCTCGAGGTAACGGTTGACGAAAACGGACGAGTGGGCGTCGGGCGGGGTTTTTGAAAAAAGTGGGGGCGGTAGTTTGACGTTTGGGAGCGGTTTTTTTTCGTTTACGGTTTCTTCTTCGGAGGACGAAGACGGTTCTGGTTTTCTAGAAGATTATCAATTTTTTTTTTTTACTCTAGAGCAAAATCCAGAACATTCTAGAGCAATATAGAACATTCTAGAGTAAAATCGAGCATTCTAGAGTGAAATAAAATATTCTAGAGTAAAATCGAACATTCTGGACTACTCTCAAATATGACAGCAGTCGAAAAAATGTCAAATTTTTTTCAAACTATTGACAGTCAACTGTTAAATTTAACTTTGACAGCTGTCTAAAATTGTTTAATTTAAAAATGACAATTTTATTTCTGTGAAAATGACACAAACAAATTTGATATGATAATTTTTGACAGATGTCAATTGACATTGAACTGTCAAATTCAACTTTGACAGCTTTCGAAAAATGTTTATTTTTTTAAATCAAAATGACATTTGACAGGTGTCAATTTTTCTAACATACTCATTTGAATATCGAATTGTCAAATTTAACTAAGACGGATGTCTAAAATTATCTTATTTTTTCAAATCAAAATAAATGGCATTTAACAGGTGTCATCAATTTTTCTAACAAGCTCATCGAACTGTCAAATTCAACAATGACAAATGTCTAATTTTTTTTAAACAAAATGACATTAAATGGCCTGTAACTGTCAAACTATGAATATTTGATAGGTGTCAATTTTTTTACAAGTTCAATAAGTATGAAATTATTAAATTTTGACAGTTTGTTCAATAAATTTAGATATTTTTTAGAAATTTAAGACAATCGTCTGATAAATTTAGATTTCTTAAGACATTAATTTAGAGACTTTTTAAAAATTTAAGATGATTGTCTAATAAATTTAGACACTTTTCAGATAGTTTACATTCGTCTGATACATTTGAACAACGTCTGGAAAAGACATTTTTAGAATAATTTATGACTACAATTCCTAGAAATATAAGACTGATAAATTTAAGACGATAACTTACATTTTTATGTCTTTTTCGGAAACGTCTGATTCGTCTGAATCACTACCGTAATCAGCTACCAAAGACATTTTTCAGACAACAATTTTACTCAAATTTGTTTATTATTTTTATTTATTTATTTACATTTTGATTATTCTGTCAAATTTCGACTATTTACTGTTTCCATCTCTTTCTTGCGCATCGATGTCACATTTATACGTCAAACAAACACGACAATTGTCACTCTTGAGGGGTTTTCAAAGACTTATTCATGATGACGTCACCATAGATGCTTGCGTTTCAAGCAATTTAATCGTGAATATTACAGAAATCTGTTATATGAAAAGGCCTAATGTCATTTCTTTGAAAGTGTCACACGTGGAAAAAACAACAACAAACAACATAACCTTACTTTTTTTTCAATTTTTTCATTTCCAAGATAAAATTCCATTTATTTGTTAATAACAATTGAAAGATAATTACTAAATAAATAGAAATTCAGTGTTTATTTTCCTTTTATCTTATCTGTTATCACAGATCCTCCGTCACGACGTCACGAGGCGGTTTTTATTAAACGTAGGCAGTTGTGCTCCATTTTTTATTGTTAATTAATTAATTAGTGAAAAATAATTAAAATGAATCTTTCGTGCAGCAGCAAAATGATTAAATATTTGATGTTCGGCTTTAATCTATTTTTTGTTGTAAGTAGAATTTTTGTTAAATTAATTTTTAGATTAAATTTCCCCTAAAGCTGGAGCCCCCACCCAAAAAAGTTCGATTTTCTGGGCCTTGGAAACCTGGAAAATTTTAAGGGATAAAAACACTCAAAATGGCCGACTGTCATAGGTTTGAGTGAAGTTTGTTGCAAGCAGTGTTGCCACCTGAAAAACTATTTTTGAAACTAAAAATTCCCTTAAAAGTTGTTTTTTCTTGCCATTAATTTTAGCATTTAAAACTTAAAATATTTGACAGAAAATGAAGAAAACTCAAAGCCTCGTACTTTGAGAGGGGTTTTCCCGATTGAAAACGGCCTGGAAAACTGGCAAATTCGGGGAAAAACTGGATAAAAATGTAAACACGACACTTCAAAATGGCCGCCTAATAATTTAATGGTGAGTAAGACAAAGAAAGAGATAAAGTAGGAAATAATTTTAGTCTAAAAATGGGAGTTTTTGGTTGAAAAATTGAAGCAAATTTAAAGCCCCGCACTCAAAACAGTCTTTTCGATTAAAGAAGCCTTGGGAAAGTGAAAAATTCAATGGAAAAACCAACATTATAAAGCCTGCTTGACCAAACCAAAGTTCTGTGCACTTACCTTGTTGGAAAACTGGACATTTTTGGTTCAAAATGGAGAAAACTCAAAGCCTCGAACTTTAAATCCATTTTTCTCATTGAAAACGACCTGGAAAAACGGAAAATTCGAGGAAAAACTAAATAAAAATATAAACACACTTGAGTTATTAACATTTTTATAAAAAAAAGAAGAATAAAAATCCAAAGCTTACTTGAGTTATAAAAAAGAAGAACAGAAATCCAAAGCCTACTTGAGTTATTAGCGTTATTTAAAAAAAAAAGAAGAACAAAAATATAAAGGATTTTTAATCTTCTTTTTTTTGAAAAATGCTAATAACTTAAGAAGGCTTTGAATTTTTGCTCTTCTTTTTCTTAAAAAATGCTAATAATTAAGTAGACTTTGGATTTGCGTTCTTTTTAATCCACTTTTTGGTGACGTAAGGTTGTAGCATCCCAGTGAACTCAACTTTATCAAACACTGGAAACGAGAGAGAAAGGAATAGAGCGGAGTATCGTTGCAGTATTTAAAAATATTCGTTAAAATTTAAGCGATTTGGCCAGATAATGAAAACTACTATATACACACCGTGTGGGTGTAGATAAAATATTGTACTTTACATATTGTTGAATTTTTTCATTATTCTCGGCACTCCATTGGTCCAAATGTAATAACAATTCAAAAGCTGTCTAATACAAATAGCTACGTTCGAATTGCAAATAAAATGTTGTATGTTACACGTAAGTATGTAGTACCAATTACCAGTCAATTGAGAAAAAAAATCCAAAGCCTACTTGAATCAACGATTTTTTCAAAAAAAAAAAGAAGACAAAATCCAAAACCTATTTGTGTATCGATAATGTGTAAAATGTATTCAAATGTCAAAAAAACCTAGTATCAACTGTCAAAAAATCAAAAAAGAAGAAACATTCCACAGCCTTCTTTAACAACTACCAATTGTCAACAAGTTTAAAAAAAAAGAAGAAGAAAATTCCAAAGCCTCCTTTGATAGAAAAAAAGAAGAAATCGATTTTTTCCGACCCTAATGGACACGTGTATCGATAAATTACCGTTTTCAGGAACGGAATTAGACGAAAAATAAGGGAAAAAAATCAACCATGGATAAAAACATTCAAAAATGGCCGACTGTCAAAACTACAAATGACATTATGCGACGTTGCCACATCTCAAATAGGAAAAAGTTTTTGAATATTCTCGGCTCTTTGATTGAGCGCTAAAAATCGCATTTTGATTGGCTCCAAATTATCCGCTGACCAATAGAATTATAGACTGGGCCTCGTGATTAAAATAACTCCGGCCCTTCGGGCTCGCATATGACTCTAGCCCTCCGGGCTTTCGTATAACTCCAGCCCTTTGGGCTGGCATATAACTCTAGCCCTTCGGGCCAGACTCGCATATAACTCCGGCCCTTCGGGCCGGACTCGCATATAACTCCGGCCCTTCGGGCCGGACTCGCATATAACTCCGGCCCTTCGGGCCGGACTCGCATATAACTCCGGCCCTTCGGGCCGGACTCGCATATAACTCCGGCCCTTCGGGCCGGACTCGCATATAACTTCGGGCTGGCATTCAATTCTAGCCCTTCGGGTTTACGTATAACTCCGGCCCTTCGGGCTCGTGTATAACTCCAGCCCTTCGGGCTCGCATATAACTAGCCTTTCAGGCTTACGTATAACTTCGGCCCTTCGGGGCCATTTCCGACGTCATAACTAAGTCATCAGCTATTTAAATAGTCTACGTCAAAGCAAGAAATAACATACTGTTTACGTCACAACTGATGATTTGCCGGAAGGAGATTTGTTCCACACAGGCCTTATGAAGATAGGCTATCCTGTAGGTAGTAGTAATGCGTTAAATCGCCTTATTACCAACGGTTACCGAGCAAATAAATTATAATGAAAAAAGAATCAAGGCAAATTTTCACCTGTAGTGACGTCACTACAGGTTCACGACTCTCGCCATTCATAAATACTATAGGCACACCGAGTATGCGCACTGTATTCCGTTCAGAAAGTACTTTGGACGCGCTCCAGTTGAAACCAAACACGTTTTACCAAAACTGCCGCCATTTTTTTTGCAAATATAATTTAAAAAATGGCCGTTTGTCAAATGCCACTACTGTCAAAACCATTCCAGGGCCAACTTGATTGAAACCCGAGTGAAGTTGCCTACGAAACAGTGTTGCCACCCTTAAAAAAAAAAATTGTATTTTAGTGATTTTTTCTAATTGAAAAAGTGGAAAATTCAATGGAAAACCAACATTATTCCAAAGTCTATTTGATAAAATCATATTTTTGGTTGGAAAACTGGCAATTATTGACACATTACATAAGAAAAAAAATAGGTATTGACAACATTGTCCCTTTTCGATGACGTCATCCTAAATATTAGACAATCCAATCCATCTGTCAAAAAAAAAAAAAAAAGGAAAATTCAATATGGCGTGGCGGCCAAGCGAGTAATGTTAAAAACCGCAATTTACACGCAATTCCACTGTAAAAATTACATGTTTTTTTTGCAGATATCCGGTATAATCATTATAGCAGTTGGCGCAGCGGTAAAGACCGTCTACACCGAGTATAGCCAATTCCTGGACGGGAAATATTTCTCGTTGCCTAACATGTTGATAGCCACTGGCGCCCTGATCTTCATGATCTCGTTTTTCGGCTGCTGCGGAGCCTTAAAAGAAAGCTGGATAATGCTGGGAATTGTAAGTGACATTTGACAATTGCTTATGCGCATTTCTCCTGATGGGCAACCTATCCTTGTTTTGCTACTGTCAAATGACAAGGACAGCAATACATCGGTGAAAATGCGCATGTGACATTGATGATTTTTATTTTTTTTTCCAGTTTTCCATTTTACTGTTTATAATTTTCGTATTCGAGTTCGCTTCGGGTATTGCCGGGTACGTACTAAAAGGCAAAACGGCTGATTACCTGGATTCCACCTTGCGAGCAAATTTGCTCGTTTACAACCAGACTCACGACGTTTGGGACTTAATTCAGACCACTGTAAGTAGAAAAAGATGACGTCACATTTAGTCACCAATGTCAAAAATCAGTGTCGCCATTTTGTTTCCCTCATTTATTATTTGAACTTTTTTTTTTTCAAAAATAGATATGTTAAATGGACCACCCTGTATATGTTTATTTTATTTTTTTCTAGTTTCAATGTTGCGGCGTTGACAACTACCACGACTGGCAAGGTCACCTGAACGGCACCTACGACCTGCCACTGTCCTGTTGTCCGACGGTCAGTGGCGTAACAGCGGCGTTTTACTGCAACAGCCGCAACGACACCACAATAAGTACGACAACTTCAGTATTAAGTACTACAAGTACAGATTCAAGTACGGCGACTACGACAGTGTCAAGTACTACTACGACAACTTTAGCTACGACACCGACAACGAAAAATACTTCTGAGACTTCTGAGTCTACTCCTACTAGTCCTACTACTCCTAGTTCAAGTAATGACTAATTGATTAATTTTTTGATCAATTGAATGATTGATTAATTGAATTGTCGGGAAAAACTCAGGTCGGGACCAAAAACAAATCGGGAAAAAAAACTGTCGAGAAAAATTCGAATTAAAAACAAAAACATGTCGGGAAAAATTAAATTGGGTAAAAAAGACTATCAAGAAAAAAAAACTGTCGGGAAAAAAAAATGTCGGGAAAAAAACTGTCGAGAAAAAAATATTGTCAAGAAAAAAAAAATCGAAAAAAAAAGCGTCGAGAAAAAACTATCGAGAAAAAAAAACTGTCGAGAAAAACTCGAATTAAAAACAAAAACATGCCGGGAAAAATTAAATTGGGTAAAATAGACTATCAAGAAAAAAAAACTGTCGGGAAAAAAAAATGTCGGGAAAAAACTGTCAGAAAAAAACTGTCAGGAAGAAAACGTGTCGAGAAAAAATAAATTCAGGATAAAACGTATCGGGAAAAAAACTGTCGAGAAAAAAAACTGTCGAGAAAAAAACTATCGGAAAAAAAAAACTGTCGAGAAAAACTCGAATTAAAAACAAAAACATGTCGGGAAAAATTAAATTTGGTAAAAAAGACCATCAAGAAAAAAAAAACTGTCGGGAAAAAAAAATGTCGGGAAAAAACTGTCAGAAAAAAACTGTCGGGAAAAAAACGTATCGAGAAAAAATAAATTCAGGATAAAACGTATCGGGAAAAAAATTGTCGAGAAAAAAACAAACTGTCGAGAAAAAAACTATCGGGAAAAAAAATGTCGAGAAAAAAAAACTGTCGAGAAAAACTCGAATTAAAAACAAAAACATGCCGGGAAAAATTAAATTGGGTAAAAAAAACTATCAAGAAAAAAAAACTGTCGGGAAAAAAAAATGTCGGGAAAAAACTGTCAGAAAAAAACTATCGGGAAAAAAAAATGTCGAGAAAAAAACTGTCGAGAAAAAAATATTGGCGGGAAAAAAAAAAAAATCGAAAAAAAAAGCGTCGAGAAAAAAACTATCGAGAAAAAAAAACTGTCGAGAAAAACTTGAATTAAAAACAAAAACATGCCGGGAAAAATTAAATTGGGTAAAAAAGACTATCAAGAAAAAAAAACTGTCGGGAAAAAAAAATGTCGGGAAAAAACTATCGGGAAAAAAAATGTCGAGAAAAAAACTGTCGAGAAAAAAATATTGTCAAGAAAAAAAAAATCGAAAAAAAAAGCGTCGAGAAAAAACTATCGAGAAAAAAAACTGTCGAGAAAAACTCGAATTAAAAACAAAAACATGCCGGGAAAAATTAAATTGGGTAAAATAGACTATCAAGAAAAAAAAACTGTCGGGAAAAAAAAATGTCGGGAAAAAACTATCGGGAAAAAAAATGTCGAGAAAAAAACTGTCGAGAAAAAAATATTGTCGGGAAAAAAAAAATCGAAAAAAAAAGCGTCGAGAAAAAAACTATCGAGAAAAAAAAACTGTCGAGAAAAACTCGAATTAAAAACAAAAACATGCCGGGAAAAATTAAATTGGGTAAAATAGACTATCAAGAAAAAAAAACTGTCGGGAAAAAAAAATGTCGGGAAAAAACTATCGGGAAAAAAAATGTCGAGAAAAAAACTGTCGAGAAAAAAATATTGTCGGGAAAAAAAAAAATCGAAAAAAAAAGCGTCGAGAAAAAAACTATCGAGAAAAAAAAACTGTCGAGAAAAACTCGAATTAAAAACAAAAACATGTCGGGAAAAATTAAATTGGGTAAAATAGACTATCAAGAAAAAAAAACTGTCGGGAAAAAAAAATGTCGGGAAAAAACTATCGGGAAAAAAAATGTCGAGAAAAAAACTGTCGAGAAAAAAATATTGGCGGGAAAAAAAAAAAATCGAAAAAAAAAGCGTCGAGAAAAAAACTATCGAGAAAAAAAAACTGTCGAGAAAAACTCGAATTAAAAACAAAAACATGCCGGGAAAAATTAAATTAGGTAAAATAGACTATCAAGAAAAAAAAACTGTCGGGAAAAAAAAATGTCGGGAAAAAACTATCGGGAAAAAAAATGTCGAGAAAAAAACTGTCGAGAAAAAAATATTGTCGGGAAAAAAAAAAATCGAAAAAAAAAGCGTCGAGAAAAAAACTATCGGGAAAAAAATATTGGGAAAAAAAAAATCGAAAAAAAAGCGTTGAGAAAAAAACTATCGGGAAAAAAAAACTGTCGAGAAAAACTCGAATTAAAAACAAAAACATGTCGGGAAACATTAAATTGGGTAAAAAAGACTATCAAGAAAAAAAAACTGTCGGGAAAAAAAAATGTCGGGAAAAAACTATCGGGAAAAAAAATGTCGAGAAAAAAACTGTCGAGAAAAAAATATTGTCAAGAAAAAAAAAATCGAAAAAAAAAGCGTCGAGAAAAAACTATCGAGAAAAAAAAACTGTCGAGAAAAACTCGAATTAAAAACAAAAACATGCCGGGAAAAATTAAATTGGGTAAAATAGACTATCAAGAAAAAAAAACTGTCGGGAAAAAAAAATGTCGGGAAAAAACTGTCAGAAAAAAACTGTCAGGAAGAAAACGTGTCGAGAAAAAATAAATTCAGGATAAAACGTATCGGGAAAAAAACTGTCGAGAAAAAAAACTGTCGAGAAAAAAACTATCGGGAAAAAAAAACTGTCGAGAAAAACTCGAATTAAAAACAAAAACATGTCGGGAAAAATTAAATTTGGTAAAAAAGACTATCAAGAAAAAAAAAACTGTCGGGAAAAAAAAATGGGAAAAAACTGTCAGAAAAAAACTGTCAGGAAGAAAACGTGTCGAGAAAAAATAAATTCAGGATAAAACGTATCGGGAAAAAAACTGTCGAGAAAAAAAACTGTCGAGAAAAAAACTATCGGGAAAAAAAAACTGTCGAGAAAAACTCGAATTAAAAACAAAAACATGTCGGGAAAAATTAAATTTGGTAAAAAAGACTATCAAGAAAAAAAAAAACTGTCGGGAAAAAACTGTCAGAAAAAAACTGTCAGGAAGAAAACGTGTCGAGAAAAAATAAATTCAGGATAAAACGTATCGGGAAAAAAACTGTCGAGAAAAAAAACTGTCGAGAAAAAAACTATCGGGAAAAAAAAATGTCGAGAAAAAAACTGTCGAGAAAAAAATATTGTCGGGAAAAAAAAAAATCGAAAAAAAAGCGTTGAGAAAAAAACTATCGGGAAAAAAAAACTGTCGAGAAAAACTCGAATTAAAAACAAAAACATGTCGGGAAAAATTAAATTTGGTAAAAAAGACTATCAAGAAAAAAAAAACTGTCGGGAAAAAACTGTCAGAAAAAAACTGTCAGGAAGAAAACGTGTCGAGAAAAAATAAATTCAGGATAAAACGTATCGGGAAAAAAACTGTCGAGAAAAAAAACTGTCGAGAAAAAAACTATCGGGAAAAAAAAATGTCGAGAAAAAAACTGTCGAGAAAAAAATATTGTCGGGAAAAAAAAAAATCGAAAAAAAAGCGTCGAGAAAAAAACTATCGGGAAAAAAAAACTGTCGAGAAAAACTCGAATTAAAAACAAAAACATGTCGGGAAAAATTAAATTTGGTAAAAAAGACTATCAAGAAAAAAAAAACTGTCGGGAAAAAAAAATGTCGGGAAAAAACTGTCAGAAAAAAACTATCAGGAAAAAGACGTATCGAGAAAAAATAAATTCAGGATAAAACGTATCGGGAAAAAAACTGTCGAGAAAAAAAACTGTCGAGAAAAAAACTATCGGGAAAAAAAAACTGTCGAGAAAAACTCGAATTAAAAACAAAAACATGTCGGGAAACATTAAATTTGGTAAAAAAGACTATCAAGAAAAAAAAAACTGTCGGGAAAAAAAAATGTCGGGAAAAAAACTATCGGGAAAAAAAATGTCGAGAAAAAAACTGTCGAGAAAAAAATATTGTCAAGAAAAAAAAAATCGAAAAAAAAAGCGTCGAGAAAAAACTATCGAGAAAAAAAAACTGTCGAGAAAAACTCGAATTAATAACAAAAACATGCCGGGAAAAATTAAATTGGGTAAAATAGACTATCAAGAAAAAAAAACTGTCGGGAAAAAAAAATGTCGGGAAAAAACTGTCAGAAAAAAACTGTCAGGAAGAAAACGTGTCGAGAAAAAATAAATTCAGGATAAAACGTATCGGGAAAAAAACTGTCGAGAAAAAAAACTGTCGAGAAAAAAACTATCGGGAAAAAAAAACTGTCGAGAAAAACTCGAATTAAAAACAAAAACATGTCGGGAAAAATTAAATTTGGTAAAAAAGACTATCAAGAAAAAAAAAACTGTCGGGAAAAAAAAATGTCGGGAAAAAACTGTCAGAAAAAAACTGTCAGGAAGAAAACGTGTCGAGAAAAAATAAATTCAGGATAAAACGTATCGGGAAAAAAACTGTCGAGAAAAAAAACTGTCGAGAAAAAAACTATCGGGAAAAAAAAACTGTCGAGAAAAACTCGAATTAAAAACAAAAACATGTCGGGAAAAATTAAATTTGGTAAAAAAGACTATCAAGAAAAAAAAAACTGTCGGGAAAAAACTGTCAGAAAAAAACTGTCAGGAAGAAAACGTGTCGAGAAAAAATAAATTCAGGATAAAACGTATCGGGAAAAAAACTGTCGAGAAAAAAAACTGTCGAGAAAAAAACTATCGGGAAAAAAAAATGTCGAGAAAAAAACTGTCGAGAAAAAAATATTGTCGGGAAAAAAAAAAATCGAAAAAAAAGCGTCGAGAAAAAAACTATCGGGAAAAAAAAACTGTCGAGAAAAACTCGAATTAAAAACAAAAACATGTCGGGAAAAATTAAATTTGGTAAAAAAGACTATCAAGAAAAAAAAAACTGTCGGGAAAAAACTGTCAGAAAAAAACTGTCAGGAAGAAAACGTGTCGAGAAAAAATAAATTCAGGATAAAACGTATCGGGAAAAAAACTGTCGAGAAAAAAAACTGTCGAGAAAAAAACTATCGGGAAAAAAAAATGTCGAGAAAAAAACTGTCGAGAAAAAAATATTGTCGGGAAAAAAAAAAATCGAAAAAAAAGCGTTGAGAAAAAAACTATCGGGAAAAAGAAACTGTCGAGAAAAACTCGAATTAAAAACAAAAACATGTCGGGAAAAATTAAATTTGGTAAAAAAGACTATCAAGAAAAAAAAAACTGTCGGGAAAAAACTGTCAGAAAAAAACTGTCAGGAAGAAAACGTGTCGAGAAAAAATAAATTCAGGATAAAACGTATCGGGAAAAAAACTGTCGAGAAAAAAAACTGTCGAGAAAAAAACTATCGGGAAAAAAAAATGTCGAGAAAAAAACTGTCGAGAAAAAAATATTGTCGGGAAAAAAAAAAATCGAAAAAAAAGCGTTGAGAAAAAAACTATCGGGAAAAAAAAAACTGTCGAGAAAAACTCGAATTAAAAACAAAAACATGTCGGGAAAAATTAAATTTGGTAAAAAAGACTATCAAGAAAAAAAAAACTGTCGGGAAAAAAAAATGTCGGGAAAAAACTGTCAGAAAAAAACTATCAGGAAAAAGACGTATCGAGAAAAAATAAATTCAGGATAAAACGTATCGGGAAAAAAACTGTCGAGAAAAAAAACAAACTGTCGAGAAAAAAAACAAACTGTCGAGAAAAAAACTATCGGGAAAAAAAATGTCGAGAAAAAAAAACTGTCGAGAAAAACTCGAATTAAAAACAAAAACATGCCGGGAAAAATTAAATTGGGTAAAAAAAACTATCAAGAAAAAAAAACTGTCGGGAAAAAAAAATGTCGGGAAAAAACTGTCAGAAAAAAACTATCGGGAAAAAAAAATGTCGAGAAAAAAACTGTCGAGAAAAAAATATTGTCGGGAAAAAAAAAATCGAAAAAAAAAAGCGTCGAGAAAAAAACTATCGGGAAAAAAAAACTGTCGAGAAAAACTCGAATTAAAAACAAAAACATGTCGGGAAAAATTAAATTGGGTAAAAAAAACTATCAAGAAAAAAAACTGTCGGGAAAAAAAAATGTCGGGAAAAAACTATCAGAAAAAAACTGACGGGAAAAAAACGTATCGAGAAAAAAAAATTCAGGATAAAACGTATCGGGAAAAAAAACTGTCGAGGAAAAAACTGTCGAGAAAAAAACTATTGGGAAAAAATATTGTCGGGAAAAAAAAAAAAATCGAAAAAAGAAGCGTCGAGAAAAAAACTATGTATCGGGAAAAAAATCCCGACAGAAATTTCCCGACAAAATCCACTAATTTTTCTCATTTTTTTTTTTCTTTAAGCAACCCCAAAGCTCGAACCCTCATCTTCTGACCCCAATGTTAGACGTAAACGAGCCCTAATCGACGAAAATTCTACCCCCCACCCGTCCACTTCTCCCCCTTACGCGGCCGGTTGTAAAGCGGCCTTTGGCGATTACGTGAAAAAACACGCCGTCCAAATTGGCGGCTGCGCATTGGGTCTCGCGGTTGTGCAGGTATGTATTGATTAATTGATTAGTTGATTGATTTAATCAATCACTATTTTTTTTTCTAGATTTTAGGTATTGCGTTTTCGTGCCATCTGGTACGTCAATTGAAGAACGGATACTATAGTACTTAATTTGATTAATTGATTGATTAATTTGAATAATTGATTAATTTGATTAAATTGATTAATTGATTGATTAATTTGATTAATTGATTGATTAATTTGATTAATTGATTTGATTAATTGATTGATTAATTTGATTAATTGATTGATTTGATTAAATTGATTAATTGATTGATTAATTTGATTGATTTGATTAATTGATTAATTTGATTAATTGATTGATTAATTTGATTAATTGATTAATTTGATTGATTTGATTAATTGATTGATTAATTTGATTAATTGATTAGTTGATTGATTTGATTAATCGATTGATTAATTTGATTAATTGATTGATTTGATTAATTGATTAATTTGATCAATTGATTGATTAATTTGATTGATTGATTAAGAAGCCATATTTTTATATTCCTTTTATTATAATAATTATTGTTATGTTTGGGACGTTATAAATAAAATATACAGTTTAATCACTCATTGAGTGTAATTTTGGCGGGAAATTTGAATTTTTTTTCAAAATTACCCTTTTCCCTACTGATTGATTTGATTTGATTAATGATTGATTGATTTTTTCAAAATTCACACTCTTACATTTTAATTTTTTCCTGGAAAACTGACAAAGAGAAAATTGTGAAATTTTACAAGGAGAAAGAGGAAAGTCAGGAGCTCATTATAGGAAAATTTCAAAATTTTCCAATGAAAAATGACTCCAGGAAAAATTCCAGAATATTGACTTTTATAGGCAAAATTATGGAAAATACACTCTTTTACATTTTAATTTTTTCCTGGGAAACTGGCAAAGGGAAAATTTTGAAATTTTTCCAGTAGAGAGAGGAAAGTGTGGAGCTCATTATAGGAAAAATTCAAAATTTTCCAATGGAAAATGACTGCAGGAAAAATTCTAGAAAATTGACTTATTTAAGCAAAATTAGGAAAAATTCACCTCTTGCATTTTAATTTTTTCCTGGAAAACTTGCAAAAGGAAAATTTTGAAATTTTTCCAGGAGAGAGAGGAAAGTGTGGAACACATTATAGGAAAATTTCAAAATTTTCCAATGAAAAATGACTCCAGGAAAAATTCCAGAATATTGACTTTTATAGGCAAAATTATGGAAAATACACTCTTTTACATTTTAATTTTTTCCTGGGAAACTGGCAAAGGGAAAATTTTGAAATTTTTCCAGTAGAGAGAGGAAAGTGTGGAGCTCATTATAGGAAAAATTCAAAATTTTCCAATGGAAGATGACTGCAGGAAAAATTCTAGAAAATTGACTTATTTAAGCAAAATTAGGAAAAATTCACCTCTTGCATTTTAATTTTTTCCTGGAAAACTTGCAAAAGGAAAATTTTGAAATTTTTCCAGAAAAGAGAGGAAAGTGTGGAACACATTATAGGAAAATTTCAAAATTTTCCAATGAAAAATGACTCCAGGAAAAATTCTAGAAAATTGACTTATTTAAGCAAAATTAGGAAAAATTCACCTCTTGCATTTTAATTTTTTCCTGGAAAACTGGCAAAGGGAAAATTTTGAAATTTTTCCAGGAGAGAGGGGAAAGTTTTGAGCTCATTATAGGAAAATTTAAAAATTTTCCAATGGAAAATGACTACAGGAAAAATTCCAGAATATTGACTTTTATAGGCAAAATTATGGAAAATACACTCTTTTACATTTTAATTTTTTCCTGGGAAACTGGCAAAGGGAAAATTTTGAAAATTTTCCAGTAGAGAGAGGAAAGTGTGGAGCTCATTATAGGAAAAATTCAAAATTTTCCAATGGAAAATGACTGCAGGAAAAATTCTAGAAAATTGACTTATTTAAGCAAAATTAAGAAAAATTCACTTCTTGCATTTTAATTTTTTCCTGGGAAACTGGCAAAGGGAAAATTTTGAAATTTTTCCAGGAGAAAGAGGAAAGTGTGGAACACATTATAGGAAAATTTCAAAACTTTCCAGTAAAAAAATCACTCCAGGAAAAATTCCAAAAGCAAAAAAACAAAACAAAACTGGTCAATTTAAAGCCTCTTTATTCAACCAAAATTAACGTTACTATTAAAAAACGGACTGTTAACCCCAAAACCGACGTTAATCTGCCCGAAAAGATTCACAGCGAATTCTACGACTTTTCTGAGCACCACAATTGCGCTCAGAGTCAAATTATGAACCGTTGACAACTTGCTGATCAGAGTCTGAGTGAGGGCGGACCAAATGTGCGAATTTTCTTGGATCAGGGCCCAGATTCGTCCTGCAACTTCGCCTTTGAGTTTAATGCAGGCTTCGACCAGTTTTAGGATTTCGACGTACGGAACTTGCTTGACTGATTGGACTCCGGTCGAAAATACGTTGGGGATCTGATGGAATTACATGGAATTTTAATGAAAAAAGTATTTTTACTATAATATTCGACTTACCCCGACGTTGAATTCGGCACCTTGCAATCGGAGCTCGTTGACATCTTCCAACGAGTTTGTAGATCCATCGACTTGTGAAACGTATAGGCAAATTGCCTAAACAATAATTAAAAATTGAAAGTTATTAAAAGTATTATCGATATTATTATTTTCGATAATAGAATCGAAAATATTGTCAATAGTATTATCAATAGTGCTTTTGAAAAAGTATTGATATAAAAATTATCGATACCACTATAGAAAACTGTTAAAATTACTTGGAAATTATCGATATCGAAAAATTATCGACTGTAAAAATTAAAGGACACTCACCAGAAGACACAAACAAAAAGGGCGCATTTTTCACTGGTTTCTTCAACAAAAATGAAAATCAACTCACAAATTCCTCGTTTAAATAACGTTTTTCGAGGTAACGAGATAATAATGAAGAGTCGTTTATTAAATGCCTAAATTAAGAAACTTTCAAAAGTTAATAATTAGACCCTTTCTATTTAACGAGGTCGTAGATATGAATAATAATGTACGAGGGGTCGATAAATTTGCTATAATGAGCTCTTGACTTTCCTCTTTCTTTTGTAAAAATTTCACAATTTTCTCTTTGCTAGTTTTCCAGGAAAAAATTAAAATGTAAAGGAGTGTATTTTCTATAATTTTGCCTATAAAAGTCAATATTCTGGAATTTTCCTTGGAGTGATTTTCCACTGGAAAATCTGGAAAAGTAAAACAAAAAGGGAGTTTTTGAGGAAAAAATGAAAGAAATTCAAAGTCTTGCCCTTAAAAACATCTTTTTCTAATTAAAAAAGCCCTGGAAAAGTGGAAAATTCAATGGAAAGACAACATTCCAAAGTCTACTTGATAAAACCATAGTTCTGGTTGGATAACTGAAAATTTTGGAAAGAAAATGGAGAAAACTCAAAGCCTCACACTTTAAACCAGTTTTTTTGGCTGAAAAAACCTTGGAAAATTGGAAAATTTGAGGAAAACCTGGATAAAAATGTAAACACGACACTTCAAAATGGCCGACTAATAATTTGATAGTGAATAAGACAAAGAGGGAAATAAAGTAGGAAACAATTTAAGTCTAAAAATGGAAGTTTTTGGTGGAAAAATGAAGCAAATTTAAAGCCCCGCCCTTGAAATCATCTTTTTCTAATTGAAAAATCCCTGGAAAAGTGGAAAATTCAATGGAAAACCAACATTTCAAAGCCTACTTGAAAAATCAAAGTTTTGGTCACTTACCTCGTTGGATAACTGAAAATTTTTGAAAGAAAATGGAGAAAACTCAAAGCCTCGCACTTTATACCAGTTTTTTTGACTGAAAAAACCTTGGAAAATTGGAAAATTTGAGGAAAACCTGGATAAAAATGTAAACACGACACTTCAAAATGGCCGACTAATAATTTGATAGTGAATAAGACAAAGAGGGAAATAAAGTAGGAAACAATTTAAGCCTAAAAATGGAAGTTTTTTGTGGAAAAATGAAGCAAATTTAAAGCCCCGCCCTTGAAATCATCTTTTTCTAATTGAAAAATCCCTGGAAAAGTGGAAAATTCAATGGAAAATCAACATTTCAAAGCCTACTTGAAAAATCAAAGTTTTGGTCACTTACCTCGTTGGATAACTGAAAATTTTGGAAAGAAAATGGAGAAAACTCAAAGCCTCACACTTTAAACCAGTTTTTTTGACTGAAAAAACCTTGGAAAATTGGAAAATTTGAGGAAAACCTGGATAAAAATGTAAACACGACACTTCAAAATGGCCGACTAATAATTTGATAGTGAGTAAGACAAAGAGGGAAATAAAGTAGGAAACAATTTAAGTCTAAAAATGGAAGTTTTTGGTGGAAAAATGAAGCAAATTTAAAGCCCCGCCCTTGAAATCATCTTTTTCTAATTGAAAAATCCCTGGAAAAGTGGAAAATTCAATGGAAAACCAACATTTCAAAGCCTACTTGAAAAATCAAAGTTTTGGTCACTTACCTCGTTGGATAACTGAAAATTTTGGAAAGAAAATGGAGAAAACTCAAAGCCTCGCACTTTATACCAGTTTTTTTGACTGAAAAAACCTTGGAAAATTGGAAAATTTGAGGAAAACCTGGATAAAAATGTAAACACGACACTTCAAAATGGCCGACTAATAATTTGATAGTGAATAAAGACAAAGAGGGAAATAAAGTAGGAAACAATTTAAGCCTAAAAATGGAAGTTTTTGGTGGAAAAATTAAGCAAATTTAAAGCCCCGCCCTTGAAATCATCTTTTTCTAATTGAAAAATCCCTGGAAAAGTGGAAAATTCAATGGAAAATCAACATTTCAAAGCCTACTTGAAAAATCAAAGTTTTGGTCACTTACCTCGTTGGATAACTGAAAATTTTGGAAAGAAAATGGAGAAAACTCAAAGCCTCACACTTTAAACCAGTTTTTTTGACTGAAAAAACCTTGGAAAATTGGAAAATTTGAGGAAAACCTGGATAAAAATGTAAACACGACACTTCAAAATGGCCGACTAATAATTTGATAGTGAATAAGACAAAGAGGGAAATAAAGTAGGAAACAATTTAAGCCTAAAAATGGAAGTTTTTTGTGGAAAAATGAAGCAAATTTAAAGCCCCGCCCTTGAAATCATCTTTTTCTAATTGAAAAATCCCTGGAAAAGTGGAAAATTCAATGGAAAATCAACATTTCAAAGCCTACTTGAAAAATCAAAGTTTTGGTCACTTACCTCGTTGGATAACTGAAATTTTGGAAAGAAAATGGAGAAAACTCAAAGCCTCACACTTTAAACCAGTTTTTTTGACTGAAAAAACCTTGGAAAATTGGAAAATTTGAGGAAAACCTGGATAAAAATGTAAACACGACACTTCAAAATGGCCGACTAATAATTTGATAGTGAATAAGACAAAGAGGGAAATAAAGTAGGAAACAATTTAAGTCTAAAAATGGAAGTTTTTGGTGGAAAAATGAAGCAAATTTAAAGCCCCGCCCTTGAAATCATCTTTTTCTAATTGAAAAATCCCTGGAAAAGTGGAAAATTCAATGGAAAATCAACATTTCAAAGCCTACTTGAAAAATCAAAGTTTTGGTCACTTACCTCGTTGGATAACTGAAAATTTTTGAAAGAAAATGGAGAAAACTCAAAGCCTCACACTTTAAACCAGTTTTTTTGATTGAAAAAACCTTGGAAAATTGGAAAATTTGAGGAAAACCTGGATAAAAAATGTAAACACGACACTTCAAAATGGCCGACTAATAATTTGATAGTGAGTAAGACAAAGAGGGAAATAAAGTAGGAAACAATTTAAGTCTAAAAATGGAAGTTTTTGGTGGAAAAATGAAGCAAATTTAAAGCCCCGCCCTTGAAATCATCTTTTTCTAATTGAAAAATCCCTGGAAAAGTGGAAAATTCAATGGAAAATTAACATTCCAAAGTCTACTTGATAAAACCATAGTTCTGGTCACTTACCTTGTTGGAAAACTGGTGGAAAATAAAGAAAACTCAAAGCCTCGCACCTCAAACTAGTTTTCCCGATTAAACACGACCTGGAAAAACGGAAAATTCGAGGAAAAACTCAATAAAAATGTAAACACACTTGAGTTATTAACATTTTTATAAAAAAAGAAGAATAAAAATCCAAAGCTTACTTGAGTTATAAAAAAGAAGAACAGAAATCCAAAGCCTACTTGAGTTATTAGCTTTATTTTAAAAAAAAAAGAAGAACAAAAATCTAAAGGATTTTTAATCTTCTTTTTCTTGAAAAATGCTAATAACTTAAGTAGGCTTTGGATCCACTGTATTTTGATCCATTTTTTGATGATTTACCGACTCTTTTGACAGTTTAAAACAGTGAACTCAATTTTGTCAAACACTGGAAACGAGAGAGAAAGGTATAGAGCGGACTGTCGTTGCAATATTTAAAAATATTCGTTAGAATTTAAGCGGTTTGGCCAAATAATGAAAACTACTATATGCACACCGTGTGGGTGTAGATAAAATGTTGTACTTTACATGTTGTTGAATTTTTTCATTATTCTCGGCTCTCCATTGGTCGAAATCCAAAAAACTAACCCAATTTGTTTTTCATATCATTAATCCGAGTGTTTTTTTAATTAAAAATGCCATGTAGATGTTTTGTTGTTAATTGTTTGCCCACAGACGCCATATTGGATCAGCAAATTCTCTTGTATTTATGTCATTTTGACAAATCCAAGAGCCAGGCATAAACAAAAATTGAACAGGAAAAATAAAGAAAAAATTGGTTCATTAATAGTTCGTTTTATGACGTCATGCAGTGATGGTAACACGTAGGGAAAAATTGATGTTAAGGAAGCTACACTAAAGGCTGGTTCATGCATAAATTCTTTTTCCGTTTCTTTAATTTTTTCCTTATGCATAAATAAGCTTTTCTTTTTCCGTAAAATTTTAGGTATTTCATGCACCAAAAATTAAGAGTTTTTATCAGTCTTTAATAATGACATTGTTGATGTGTATGGGAAACTGCAGGGTGTTATAAATATTATTTCCCACGTTATTTTCATTTCAGACACGTATTTTAAGACGTATTTGTTGTTTCCTTTGAAAAATTTCCTGTTTTTGAGGTTAAGTCGAGAAATATGGATGTTTTCATCTATTGCGCAGGCGTCATCGAATTTATCCGTAAAAAGATAAAAGTTAACTTGCGAATACAGAAAGAAAAATGTCGAATTTTTATTCTATTTTAATATTTAGGACCCTACAGAAGCCTGAGCGAGCTATAACACCTCATTTAACTTTTCTGCAGTGAGTAGCCAATAGATGGCGCCAGGTATTTTGTTTGTTCTGCAATTTCATGCAGCCAACTGAGTCAACCAACAGCGAATTCTATTGGCAAAACTAGTGCAGAAGAAATGTGTTTTTATCTCTTTCTTATATAAGCTGTTTAGAATAAGACCCGAATATACTCAGTGCGCACTAACCCTTCCAATAGAATTCGCTATTAATTGAATTAAAGCGTAGGGAAAATTGTAGGGATTTTTTTTTTTGGTTTGAAGAGGGGAATCGTGAAAAAAATATTACCATCACTGACGTCATGAGTTTGGGTTAGAAACTGCGTCCATGTTTTCGGCGAACAATATGACGTCATAAGTTTCTCGCGAAAGCATTTGTATTCATGAAAGCATGGAAATAATTCGGTTAAAGTTTATTCAAAATTACACACTGCCACTGGTAAAAACATTGTTGCCGTTTTATAGGTCTATCTCTCTCTTCTTCATATATAATAGGATTTATTGTAAGGCTTGGCCGATATTTGAGTAAAAGCCGGCAACAGTGTGTAAGTTCAATTTACAAACCGGTTGGCAACACTGATTTGAGTTTAAATTTGCCGCCATGTTGTTTTTTCAAAACGAGTGGGATTTTGTTTGAAAAATATCTCGTACGTCTATGGATGGTAAAGCTCCACCCATTTAGAAGCCTTTTATGGGTCCCAAATGAACGAGGTTAATTGCCAATAAACAAGGGGTGGAGTCATACAATCCATAGGCGTACCTTTTTTGGTTAAACATTAGGGGAATAGATAAAATTTGAGTTGGAAAAACTAGAAAAAATAAGAGATAAAAGGACCTCAGTACCTATCTTTCATTGGTTGTCAGCCATTTGTAGACTGTCGGCCATTTTGTATTACATTACAACCAATGAGCGGTCCCAAGAAAGAGTCTTATCGAGCTGTAGGAAATAACTAACCCTTATTGGCCTACGGAAGAGCCTAATGGAGGAATCATTCCCTGATTGGCCAGAGGAAAGAAAAGGGGTGACAAGAATTCTACTCCAATGTTTTTTCCCTTCCATGCATTTGAATTTCCTTTATTGATAAATTCAACAGTTGGGAATAAACAAAAAATGACATTTGACCTAAATTTCAGACATTTGACAGAAATATTATTAGTACACTGTTGTCACGTTGTACCTAATTTCTTAATTTTTTTTTTTTTTTTCAACCGTAATTTGTAATTCAATATTTTTTAGCCTCCTCACGAGCCGCCACTGACTCAACTTTGTCAAACACTGGAAACGAGAGAGAAAAGTATAGAGCGGAGTTTCGTTGCAGTATTTAAAAATATTCGTTAGAATTTAAACGGTTTGGCCAGATAATGAAAACTACTATATGCACACCGTGGGTGTAGATAAAATGTTGTACTTTACATGTTGTTGAATTTTTTCATTATTCTCGGCTCTCCATTGGTCCGAATGTAATAAAAATTAAAAAACCGTTCAATACAAATAGGAACGCAAATAAAATGTTGTACGTTACACGTAAGTATGTAGTACCAATTGCCAGTCAATTGAGAAAAAAAATCGAAAGCCTACTTGAATTAATGATTTTTTCGAAAAAAAAGAAGACAAAATCCAAAACCTATTTGTGTATCGATAACGTGTAAAATGTATTCAAATGTCAAAAAAACCTAGTATCAACTGTCAAAAAACCAAAAAAGAAGAAACATTCCACAGCCTCCTTTAACAGTTACCAAATGCTAACAAGTTTTAAAAAAAAGAAGAACGAAATTCCAAAGCCTCCTTTGATAGGAAAAAAGAAGAAATCGACTTTTTCCGACCCTAATGGACACGTGTATCGATAAATTACCGTTTTCAGGAACGGAATTAGACGAAAAATAAGGGAAAAAATCATCCATGGATAAAAACATTCAAAAATGGCCGACTGTCAAAACTGCAAATGACATTATGCGACGTTGTCACATCTCAAATAGGAAAAAGTTTTTGAATATTCTCGGCTCTTTGATTGGGCGCTAAAAATCGCATTTTGAATATTCCCGGTTTTTGATTGGCTTCAAATTATCGACTGACCAATAGAATTATAGACTGGACCTCGTGATTAAAATAACTCCGGCCCTTCGGGCTCGCATATAACTCTAGCCCTTCGGGCTTTGGTATAACTCCAGCCCTTCGGGCTGGCACATAACTCCAGCCCTTCGGGCTGGCATATAACTCTAGCCCTTCGGGCTTACGTATAACGGTATAACTCCGGCCTCGCAAAACTTAGAAATGTCAACCGAAAAATCGTGTTTTGTCTTTGTTTTTTTGCACGCAACAAACAAGGACAAACAAACTTTTTTTTTCTGGAAATTTCCAACCAATGAATGTCTAATTGTTATGATGTTTTACAAAGTAGGCTTTGGTTTCTTTTGGCGCAAACGTCAGAGAACGTGACGTCCTAAGTAGGCCTTGTAATTTTTGACAATTAATTCAAAATGGTTTTTTTTTTTCGATTCGAACCTGTAATATCGACAATCGATGAAAAATAGGGTTGTTTCCAAGGCCTACTTCGTTTGATAAATCTTCTGCTTACAGTTATCTGTATTATCGGCAACGATTAAAACTAGAATTGCCTTCAAATTATCGAACACCTGCAAAAATGAGAAGGAGAAATCAAACAGTCTAAAATCTGTTACTAACATCGCTTTATATTTTGCCTCATAACTTTCTTAATTTTCAACCGATTTTGATGTAATTAGACTCAAAATGAAGCTAATTAAATTCTCTACAAATCACTATTGAGGTCATTTTGACGCAGCTGCAATAGTTTCTGAGTTATAAGCTCTTTAAAAAAAAAAAAAAAAATCTTGATTACAATATTTTAATACATAGTATAATTATTATAATAAATTCCTAATTTAAAATAATGCTTTCGCTTTCAACTGAAGGCGAACTTGCTGAGCTAAGTGTGTCCTCTGTAGCAAAAGTAGGCGTTGACGCAGTCGATTGAGTCGAAGACGGAGTTGCCGCATTTTCTTCTTTTTTTATTTTCTTATGCTTATGCTCATGCTTATGTTTGTGCTTATGCTTATGCTTTTTTTTGTCTTTTTTCTTCTTTTTTAATTTAGATTTCGAGTCGTTGAACATCCCTGGCTCAAAACCAACCACTGGATTTTGCTGGTCAATGCCAGGTAATGAAATTGAATTATCCGAAAAGAAATCTTGTTGTTGTTGTTGTTTTATTTGAGGCTCTACTTCAAGTTTTACTATAGGTTCTTCTTGTTTGATTTCAGGTACCAGTTTTGGTACGGGCTTGAGTTTTTTTTGGTTCAAATTCATTAGGCCTACTAGTTCAGGTAAGGGGATACAAATAGGCCTACGATTACCGTATAATGTATAATATAAATCAACTAAATCGCATCTGATTCTTGTGTCAAATGATAATAAGGAGTTGATGTTTGTCCAAAGTCGCTCTACTAGCTCTGGAGTGTCAAGTTTTGATCTATGAGCTCTTTTAAATGGAGGATTTTTAATAAGTAGTTGGGTGAGTTTGTGCTTAAGACCTGGATCAGGGTCATTTTCAATTAAGTCTAAAATTTGCTTTTGGTCTTCTTGTTTGCCATCAGCTTTAATAAATTCCACTAAGCATTCTAGTGCAGCCAAACGGACATCAATATATTGGCCGTATTGGGCATAGAATTTAAACAATGTAGACCTACTAGGCAAGTGGCCAAATCTTTGTAGTTTTCTTATAGCTTTTAGGCATTCTATTGTAACAGTGTATTTGTAGCAAGGCAATACTTTGTCTAAGTTTAGTAAGCGAGTGATTTCTTCTAGAATTAGTTTAGTGTCTGCACTTAAATTATCAGCCACAATAGGTGAAGTAATTGAAGCTACTGGGGTAATTGTACAGCCTAAAGCCTTTACAAGCTCAGCCCTATAATAGTTATCCGAAAACCTATTTTTTGAATTATCATTATATTTAAACAAATCAAGTAAAAATCGTATTACTTCAGGAGGACAAATACCGTGAGCATTTCTTAGTCCAGCCATTGCAAGCGGTATAGTTTTTTGTATAAAATAATGCTGGAAATTTTCAAAGTTGTTTTGCTTGACTATATGCGGTGCCGCAAAGGAACCGAAAAATTTCCTAAAAATTGCCAGCATTGCAGGAGGTCCCGCCCAATTTGCAACCATAGCGTTTGCCACTTTTGTCAGACAATTTGCCGCACGACACCTGACTTTGTAATAACAGTGTTCGTTTTCAATTGTATCTGTAAGTGCTAGGCGTGTGGCTGGAGTTGGGTATCTTTCCAGTGCTATTATTGCCTCAATTTGTGCTGTAACGTCACGCTCGTGCCTCAACTGATATTGCCATTGATAGTCTGGTTGTTCTATTACAACTGATCTTAATAAAGTCATTTCTGGATCTAATCTTATCCATAATACTGGAGAATCATCCATTGCGCTTAAATCCATATCAACTTCCTCTCCAGTACATAAAGGGATTTTCTTTTTTTTATTTCTGCGGCTTTTCGAGTGGCAAGTGATATCAGACTTGACAACAGTGTTTTCTATTTGTAAATTGTGCTTAAAAGTGCCATCTAATTCTTGTAAGGTAACCAATAAAGGCCCGACATATTTGCGTATTCCAGGTTGAGATGTTGCATCTTGTCTTATTTCAAGCTCAATTGTGTTACGTTTGCGGTTAAAAATTGAGGTTAAGTGGAACTTTGCATGTCCTCCTGTTCTCACCCATTGGTCTATAAAAACTGCCATATCTTTACCAGTTACGGTAAATATTGCCTTTGTAAAAACATTGGTACTTATAAGCATATGTCCCCATAATCCGCTGCCAATTTTTTGAGATGCTGCATTAGTAGCCAAAGATAATTGTTTGTTAAAAACTTGCAGCAACAATTCTAGGCCTATTCGATGCTCTAACATTCTCATTACTAACATTGCCTTTTTGTGTAAAGCTTCAATATACATTGGAGACATTGTATGTAGATTCCTTATGGAAAAATAAAACTTTTCTTCGTTTGCTTTATTATTAGGCAAAGCCAGTGGAGGTTGGCTTGGATCTAACACAATTCCTCCATAGTCTTCTTCATATTTAACCAAATCTTGCAACATACAATGAATCATTTCTCTATACTCATTATTACCAAAACTTTTCTTCAAATATAATCCACATAAGTATTGACTAATACCTTTATTCAACCACATATCAGACCAGCTTTGCATTGAAATAAAACAACTAAAAAATTGTTCAGCAATTGCCTGAGCCATTGCTTTCCTTGTACTATACACTTGATCAATAATAACAGCAGAATGAAGCAAATCAACACTTAAAATACTCATTGTTGAATATGAATGATAATCTTCATAACATTCATCAACAAATACCTGCTTATAACAACTAAACGGATATCTATTAGATAATGTTTCTTCATAAAACTCAAAAGCCTCATACATATAACGTGTAGAAACTTTTAATAAAGGCAACAAGCCAGGGAGACAAAAATGTGTAACCTCATGCATATAAGGATCAACAAAAACCTCAAAAGGCCCTACAGCCAATGAAATATTTGGGGCACAAGTAGGCACATTCAAAACATAATGATAAGTTTTTCTTCTTCTATCCGGAGTAAAAACAACTTCAATTAAATCCCCATTAGAAACTGCAACTAAATCTTCATCTATTGTAAACTCAAGCTTCCAGGTGCAAGTTTCAGCAAAACTATCAACGCAAGGAAACCATAATCTTGACGAATTTTGATGTCCATAAGTAAACAAATGTACTCCCCGCTCAGCATAAGTGCCGTCTTTTTGAGGACAAACAAAATGAATCCCCCCTTGAGGTTGCTCCAAGCTAAACTCCAACCCAACCCGTAACGCAGTACCTTCAGCAACCAAATGTACAGCTTCAGGAGGTATAGTAACAATCAACTCCCCACAACTATTATCTGGATCAGTTTTAAGTGCGGCACTTAAATGATATTGCGAAAACTGCTCCAAACTCCTAGTATCAACATCAGTTTGACAAATATCCAAAAATGGGTCAAAATAATGGAAGTTTGCCTCGTATTGGTCGTTTAGTAGGATTTTGTAGATGCGGCATTGTTTGGCGTTGAGGCGGATTTGCCGCAAACTATTGTTAATAGGGACAATGGTCAATTCCACGAAGCCGATGATGCTTTTGCGGTCAAAGCTGATTCCTGTGAGGCTGAGGATTTGGTGGGCGAGTTTGTAGGGCCGGACAGTGTCGCCGGTCCTTTGTGGCTTCATAACTGTTTTACGTATGTTGTTTTATAGATTTTTAATAAAGGAAAAAGGGTTTTTGACTTACCTGAATCCAGTTTTAAGGGCACATAACTATAAATTACACGAAAATGTTTGTTGTTTTGTTTTGTGAGGTTATGTTTTATGTTTAGACGTTTTGACGTTTTGTCACTCAAATAGCGATTTCAATTTGTAGAATAGGTGCACCACAAATATATTCTCATCCTTATTTATTACATGCTTTTAGAAAAAGATGCGGATATACTTAGTAAATACTGATTGTTCAAGGATAATTTCTTAACGGCTGCCATATTGGCGAAATTCCTGTACCAATAGATGGCGCTAAATTACGCGAAGAAAAAGCAGGAACGAATGGTTCGAACTACGGTTTAAACCAATTTGTAGATGACGTCATCACTTGTCAACGCGAGAAAATGGAAGGTTTGAACCACATTCTTATGTCAGCGGAGAACAAGCCATGAGTCCGGTTCGAAATTTTTTGAACCAGGTTCAATGTGACGTCATTGGAATGTATAGGTTCGAACCTAATTGAACCGGATCGAACCAGTTCCACTGCGAGAAAACAGCTCAAGAATCGTTGATCATAAGGTGCTTTCCAGTGACCCATTTGAGTTACTCCTGAGCAGCTCAGGAGTGCTCCACAATTACTTTGCGTGTTCCAGTGCTTAGAGTGTCGTACACTTGAACTATTCATTTTTGTTATCCCCTGCCCCCTCGTGCACCAACCTTCACCTCGGTGTTTCATGCTCCTGAAGTGCGAAATGGTGGGGGTTAAGACGGGAGCGTTCCAGTGCTGCTTGTGTGGAACAGTTCAAGTGCGTCACACTCCAGGAGCATGATACTCTAACAATTTAGGCACTGGAAAGCGGCTATAGATGGTACCTACTTCGGGACCTTTCACAAATTACGTCACAACTAGTGATTTGACTTGTAAAGGATTTGTTCCACGTTCCACACAGGCTTTATGAGGATAGGCAATTCTGTGATAGTAGTGATGGATGTCATCATTAAAGTAACACTGCCCTGCAGGTTTAAAAAAACAGTGCAAATTGAACAGTTTCGTGTAATGGTGCACTACTTATTACTCTTACTGCTAGGGAAGCACTCTTTATAGGTTCAAATTTACTCTAACTATACCGAAATAATATAAAACTTGCCCCAATTGCGTCAGAGTTGGAATCACGACAAGTAGAATTCTACTTTCGTGACGTCACAGTCGACCTATTTATCGCGATAATGACGTTTGCTAAGCAACCTGACGTCATGAAAGTTGCATTCCAGTATAATTTTACTTGCCGTGATCCCAGCGTGTTCTAAATTCTAATAAGGAAATTTTGCGTTTTTACTCTAACTCTGTTCCATTTACACCAACTCTATTAAAATTACTCTTTAAATGTTCCATTTGGTCTAATTATGTTCCGAATGCATCAATTCTGTTTGAATTTCGAATTACTCTATTTCAATTGTTCTATTTCTGTTCTATCTACACTAACTGCTCTAATAACAAATAAACTTGTAAAAATACTTGCACTGACTCTGTTTTTACTCTTCTAACACTACTCGAATGCAAATAATCTTACTCCAAATACAACACCCGTATTGAAATAAGAAAAGGAGTCAAAAAGAGTAAATTGATTACCCCATAGCATTGCTCTATAGACACTATAACACTTCAAGTATAATTTTTTAGAGTAAAGAGAGTAACAAAACACGCAGTACATTCGGTTATACGGAGTAAGTAAAATAATACTTCAAAAATAATAATTTTTCAGAGTAGAATTTACTCCGAACACTAGTTTATTTATGAGGTTTGTCAAAAATGTTGCACTGACTTGAACTGAGTACAAAATAAACTAAAATTACTGCTCCAAAACAGCGCAAATTGTGTTATTAGATTATTAAAGTGAGTGCAAGTTGAACAATTTGCACGGTGCAAAAAAGTTTATTACTCTCACTACTCTTTAGGCGCTCCTAATTTTCAAATTTAGGTGTAAATAGAGTAACACTGTCCACAAATATATAGAATTGGGAGTAAATAGAACTCGCTTCAAGAGTTCTAAATAAGCAGAGTCATTTGGATTTTTTAAATTTTTTCCTTATACTAATTTATTCGTAAAATGGAACTTCTGAAACTGAAGCTTATGTATCACCAATTGTGACGTAAGCAGCATGTTATTTCTCACCTTAAAATAGCCTGTTCAAATAGCTGACAACTTAATAATGACGTCAAAAATGGTGCAGAAATGAGGCCGATAAGCAACTGCTCCTAACAAAATATCCAAACAAATCAACAGTAAAGTAAAACAGTGAAAAGAATAGAATCCGGAACTCAGTTCATTATTAGTTCTCTTATGTTACTCCATTTTGAAACTGAGTGCATGGGAGTACACCAAATGAGTAAATAGTTCTAGAATAATACGCTTTTTGAACGTACAAAGTAGTTAGAGTAAATAAGCCAAATCTAGTGTCACTTTTTGCAATAAAATTTGCTGTTCTGTAACTTTCGGAATTACTCTATTTGCACTAGTTTTCGAAATGGAGTAAGTAATACAGTATAACGCAGTTTACTCTTAGAACCATTCAAGCGAAATTGTTCAATTTACACTCATTGTCACAATAGAGCAGATAAGGAACCTAAAATAGTATATTTGACGATTTTATTGAATTAATTTCGTGAATATTTACTGTTCTAGAGCAGTTATATTTAGTCTTGTTATTCTAGGGTATTCAAAAAACTGTTCCAAATCAGTATTAGGCGATTTTGTGAGTTTTCAAAAATGATATAGGATAGCCTATCTCTCATAAGGCCTGAGTGGAACAAATTCCCCTTCCCTCCCAACTGCACCAAATCACCAGTTGTGACGTAGGCAGCATGTCCTTTCTCGGATAGACGTAAAGTGTTTGCGCTACAAGTTACAATTTCGAATTAGTGGAGTATAAAAATTAAATATTAGGCACTCTAAATACTTCGTAAAAAGAGACTTCAGTAGTTCAGAACAGAACTAAGAGCATATAGAGTTGTATTTGGTTTTTCCACTCCTTGGCCTTTTAGAGTAAAAAGAGTAACTAAATGCATTTTCATTTACACGGAATGGAGTGAATAAATCTTGTATAGACGTCAATAATCTTACTCTGCTAACTCTAAATATAAAATTTGAATTAATATTTTCTGCTCTGGATTACTCTTTTCACTCTAAAAACACTGTTCTGATTTTACTCTAAAATTGAACTTTACTACTTTTTTTATTTAATACGTGCACGCTATGAATTCTGTGTTTACTCTGAGTAGAAAATCTGAATTGAGTACAAAAAAACAGCTGATTGACATTTTTCTGCTCTGCTCTGGGTCGCTCTTGTTACTCTAAAAACCCTGTCACTTAATAATAGCGATTTCCATTTGTAGAATAGCTGCACCACAAATATATTCTCATCCTTATTTTTTACATGCTTTTAGAAAAAGATGCGGATATACTCGGTAAATACTGACTGTTCAAGGATAATTTCTTAACGACCGCCATATTGGCGAAATTCCTGTACCAATAGATGGCGCTAAATTACGCGAAAAAAAAGCAATATGTCTGCCGAACACGATGCCGGGGGCCAAATGCAAAATTGCTTTGTTGTTCACTGAGTTTTGAGTACCAAAGTTGATCATAGATGGTACCTACTACGGAACCTTTCACAAATTACGTCACAACTAGTGATTTGACTTGTAAAGGATTTGTTTCACACAGGCCTTATGAGGATAGGCTATTCTGTAATAGTAGTGTGTATCATCCTTGATGAATGTCATCATTAAAGCAGTGCAAAATGAACAGTTTCGTGTAACGGTGCACCACTTATTACTCTAACTACTAGGGAAGCACTCTTTATAGGTTCAAATTTACTCTAACTATACCGGAATAATATAAAACTTGCACCAATTGCGCCAGAGCTGGAATCACGACAAGTAGAATTCTACTTTCGTGACGTCACAGTCGACCTGTTTAAAGCCAGTTTTAAAATTTAATTTGGAAATTTTGCGTTTTTGCTCTAACTCTGTTCCATTTACACCAACTCTATTAAAATTACTCTTTAGTGTTCCATTTGGTCTAATTATGTTCCAAATGCATCAATTCTGTTTGAATTTCGAATTACTCCTGACTATTTCAATTGTTCTATCTGCACTAACTCTATTCTAACTGCTCTAATAACAAATAAACTTGTAAAAATACTTGCACTGACTCTGTTTTTACTCTTCTAACACTACTCGAACGCAAATAATCTTACTCCAAGTACAATGCTCGTATTGAAAGAAGAAAAGGAATCAATAAGAGTAAATTGATTACTCCATAGACACTCTAACAGTTCAAGTATAATTTTTTAGAGTAAAAAGAGTAACAAAACACGCAGTACAAATACGGAGTAAGTAAAATAATACTTCAAAAATTATAATTTTTCAGAGTAGAATTTACTCTGGTTCTAGAATTTACTCCAAACACTAGGTTTATCAAAAATGTTGCACTAACTTAAACTGAGTACAAAATAAACTAAAATTATTGCTCCAAAACAGCAAATTGTGTTATTAGATTATTAAAGTGAGTGCAAGTTGAACAATTTGCAAAAATTTATTACTCTCACTACTCTTTAGGCGCTCCTAATTTTCAAATTTAGGTGTAAATAGAGTAACACTGTCCACAAATATATAGAATTGGGAGTAAATAGAACTCGCTTCAAGAGTTCTAAATAAGCAGAGTCATTTGGATTTTTTAATTTTTTTTTCCTTATACTAATTTATTCGTGAAATGGAACTTCTGAAACAATCCTTTTTACTCTATTTACTCCCAAGGATTTTATACACCTTAGATATACTACTACAAGATGGCCTATCCGCATAAAGCTTATGTATCACCAATTGTGACGTAAGCAGCATGTTATTTCTCGCCTCAAAATAGGCTGTTCAAATAGCTGACGTCAAAAATGGTGCAGAAATGAGGCCGATAAGCAACTGCTCCTAACAAAATATCCAAACAAATCAACAGTAAAGTAAAACAATGAAAAGAATAGAATCCGGAACTCAGTTCATTATTTGTTCTCTTATGTTACTCCATTTTGAAACTGAGTGCATGGGAGTACACCAAATGAGTAAACAGTTCTAGAATAATACGCTTTTTGAACGTACAAAGTAGTTAGAGTAAATAAGCCAAATCTAGTGTCACTTTTTGCAATAAAATTTGCTGTTCTGTAACTTTCGGAATTAC